ATATTTATCCTTTCTCTGCTAATAAACTCTTTCTCGTTTTTTCACACATTTTGGTTCATGTCTATTTTTTTTTCCCACTTATTCTTTCTTTCTTACTCATCTTCTTCATAAGTAGGGTACAATTGAAAAACAAAATACATTTCTTACATATTTATTGTATTTAGCTAATTATAACCAACTTTTTTTATTTACATAATCCAATTTTTTGTATATTACTTATAGGAGCAGAGGGAGTAACTTAATCCGTTTTTTAATATATACAAATTAATTGTTTAAGAAAGAATATTTATAAAAACAAATTGAAAGGACAAACCAATTTGGTGGCAGTAGCTTACCCTTCAAGGGTGGTAAGAAAACAAACGAGGCTTTTCGTTGTGATGAAGGATTCTAATTTTGAAGGGCCACTTGGTTGATGATGGTGTCATTAGTAAAAAAAAATCCAAATTAGAGCTTTTGTTAGGTGATCAATCATTCAATGGGAGATTCTCTTTGTAGATTCCATCGATTAAAAAAATAGTTAAAACTAAATGTAATGATGCATGAGATCGCTTAGCATTTTTTGTTTGGGGGAATGGAAGATTGGAACAATTTTTTTAATATATAATACTAGTACATATTTAATAGTTGATTGATATTATATGTTCAAATTTAATAACTTTTTTAAGTGAGTGATTCACCAAACTTGAAGCTTTCTATGTGTTTCTTTTTTCCCCTTAAATTATATTTAGATAGATGATACATTGCTTATCAATGAAAAAAGATTGATGTTATAGGTAATTAATTTTTTTTAAAAAAATAACATAGCAGCGCCCCATCAAAAGTTTCAAATAAGATTGATTGGGTTGGGTTTTATATTTTATTTTTATTTTGTTGATCCTAAAGCATCATTCTCTTATGTGTTTAATAAGTTAACATGTTTATTAAGCAACAACAAGATTTGCTTGTTTACATGAAAATTGAACTAAGTTATAAATAATATGACTTTTTTATATTTTTATGAATCTATTGATATTGTTGAAAGGTGATAGTTTTATTATCAAATCATCAATTATCAATTGATAGGTTTATTCATGGTTAAGTTTCACCAAGTTATCTATTAGGAAAATAGCCAAAAAAAAATCTTAGAAATAGAAAAATTGTATACAGGACCCGTTGCTATATTAGTATTGGTTTTAATAACAATTGATAAGCAAATGACAATAATTTTTTGAAGGGGTTCCTATATGTAATTTTTTTAATTTTTAAAGTCTTTTTTGTGCATTTTTTTATTTATTATCGATTTTTATTTAATAACAAGTACATATTCTAATTTTTGATGTGGGACTTATCATTCCATCACTCTTTACTCTCCCCCGCAACTATGACTCTGATACTATCTTAGACTCTTGAGTCCAACCCAAAAACTAGCTCATGAGTAGAAGGCAACTAAAGGATATTTAAGCCATGTGGGTGTCAGGACTTCAGGCGATATGGGACTTATCATCCCACTGCTTTTCACTCTCCCTCACAACTATGACTCTGATATCACATTGGGCTTTTGGGTCCAACCCAAAAGCTAATTTAAAAAATTTAGATTTTTATTATTTATAAGAAAGTGTAAATTACACTAATGTCCCATATATGTAATATTTTGTAAATTTTTAACTAAAAATTTATAATATTTAAAAAGATAATGCTTATAGCAAGCTTAATTTCTTATACTACCTCCGGTCCCAATGATTGGAGGTAGTATTCATGATTGGAGAATTCGAAATAATGAATATAAAAAATTTGACTAAAATATTGGCTTCTATTTAAATAATATCTTCATAAATTTTGAAATCAAATAAAGTAATAGTGTTAATTAAATTGTTACTAAATTCTAATTAATTTATGCATATTTAAAAGATAGAGTGTTGGTATGGGCTGAGAATCCTGTTAATTAAATTAAAGAAGAAAACTCCATGAGAAGCAGCCGCTGCTTCGAGGTTTGATGAACTTGTTGTGCAAAAAAAAGAAAGAGGGGTTCGATGAATTTGACTCCAGTATGTTTGCAATTATTTAAACATGATAAATAATACTCTCTCCGGTATCACATATAAGACCTATTTTATAGTGTAAATTATACTATAAAACATGTCTTATATTTAAAACAGAAAAAAGTAATAATTAATGGAGGAACACATGGGGGACAATAAAAAAAAAGTAGAAACAATTAAATTGAACAGGCCAATGGTGGATAATGTTCTATATTTTATTAATTAATTAAAAGTTAAATTATTTAAACCTTTTAAAATGAAGGTTAAGGTAAATCTACGTATAAGCACTTCCCATACCCATCAAACACCACAATATTTTTTTGAGTGCAAAAATATAATGAATATTTCTAAATGGAGTATAATTTTACGGCTATTAAGACAATTAATATTAATCGTTAGCAAACATGTCAATTAAGAAAATTGTATAAAAATACACACAAATGTTCATCAATGGTGAGAAATGCCACGACTGTTAAGCTAATTAATGTTGGCCATTTAGCAAGCAGTTGCCACCCACATTGCACAAAATTTTCACTCCCAACAACCTCATCCGCCATTGTGGAGTCTTCTGCATGATGCAGTGGTTGCATCTCCTTGTTGCCAAACTTGTCCTTTCCTTAATCACTTTATATGGCCAAGGAGAGTTTTAACCCATAACTATTTAGTACATCAAAAGAAACATGATCACTAAGCTAATTAGTCTACTTAGTATGCAAAGAAAAATATACATGACAAAACAAATAAAAGTTTCTAAATGTGAATGAACGAGTAAGATTCGATGATTGACAATAAAAATTTAGCGATTTACAAGAAATATTAACACTTATGTTTGGGAGTTATGAATTCTCTTGTATTTCTTATCATGTTTATGTCTTTTGTAAATTGTCAAACTTGGATTGTGAATCAGCAAACTTTGATTGTAAATTACTGAACTTTACTTATTCATTCATATCTAAATATTATGTTTAGTGGACGTGAGATAATATTTTATGGGTAGATCTATACCTTAGCTCTTAAAACAATCTCTTAAATTTTCACGCTTATACAAATGCAAACTATTAATTTTATACCCTATATAGTATATACTTTATTTTTTTTATGCGTATAAAACTTCAAATTTTAAGTTAAATGCATATAAATTTCTTAAAGTTTAGTCTACTTGCAAATAAATAACGAACATAACTACTAGTATTAACTGATAGCATGAAAGTTATTTGGATAAATGTAGAAGTTTAGCGAGGTTTATGGTAGAGTTTCAAAAGTTATGAATGTTATTTATACATATAACATGAAGTTTAGGGGATTTTTATATAATATAAGCAGAGTTAAAATTAAAATTCGTGGTATCTGTCAGAAAAATAGGAGGTGTTCTGGTGAAATGAACTGTACTTGCATTAAGATACAAGAAAGTATTAGAAAAATTCTTGCAGACCAGAACGCACTTAAATGATGAAGCATGGAATTTTGTAATTGACATGAACGTCTTTCATTAAAATAAAATAATTTAATCAAATAGATATGCACGAATAAACAATTATCTAAAGAGGCTGTCGTGATCATTCAGATCTCAACTTTTTTAATTTTTAATTAAAATAGGTTTTGTTTATTCATTTTTTTGTGGGGAAGGATAAAAAGTGTTCTTTATTTCCATGTGTTTTGTTTTTTTTTATACTTATGGCCCAATTGCTACTCCTTCTCGTGAAGGATATAATGTGAAAATGCTGCACATGGCACATTATGCACAATAGAAAATTTAATTCAATTAAAAACCCATAAATAATATTTGGAATATTGATATTCAAATATTATTTTAGAGCTTAATAATCTGTATGCAGAAGATTATGAATATTATAGATATTAAAATGTAAAATTTTAAATAATTTTCTTAATATTTATAAATTGGTTATTTAGTTGTTACATGTAATATTAGACAAATATGTAATACTCGGGTAAAAAAATTATAACAAAATACACCATGTGCATCTCTCATAAATGGCGTGGAACATCCCTCAAATTCTTTATTAATATATTGAAAAATATGCATAGTTTATTTTAGAAAAATACTTAGATCAAGTTTTTTATATCCTCTATGTCAAATTCACTTATTTTGTTTTATACTTTAAAATATTATCATTTGATTATAAACCCATATTAAAAATAGGATATATAGCTGTTTGTTATTAGTGAATTTAACATAATAGATATAAAAAATTCAATGTAAGTAATTTTTTTGTATACAATTGATCCTTTAAAAATATTTCCTCTATATTTATATTTTTAAGTATTTAGTACCATCATACATGATAAAAATATAAGGATTCCATCAATTAAAATTAAAAAACAATATTAATTCAAAAATCATAATTTTTAGTTAAATATTGCAAATGCAAATTATTGCACTAATCTTTTTTTTTCCCGCCATCTATAGCTCTAACCACTTAACTATTCTTGGTAAATTGTAATATCATAGGTGGCAAAAAAATTGTGATATCATCAATATTAATCATTAAGTATATTTTAAAAAAATCATTGGAGGCAAATCTTTTTAACTATTACTATTTTTTTCCCAACAATCCGTCTATTTATTACTTTTATTATAGGAAACATGATTCAAATCAAATTCAATGTATATTCATTAAACCCTGTGTTCTTCAAAATTAAATTAATGTTCCATGTGGGAAAAAGATTAAATTAATGCAAGGGTGTTATTCTAATTCCAATTAAAGCAAGAAAGAGAAAGGGGTAAATTAGTCAATTCACTGGAGGTTGATACACGAAAGGCACGCAGAACCAAACACCTGGTTATAAAAAGAGTCACTCTGCAATAAAGCGAAACAGATAAGCAGAGTCCAAGTCTATCCATTTCTATTCCTTGATTCTATCCAATTTTGCTCGGCAGACGGGAATTTTTTTTTTTTTTTTCGCGAAAAATTATATTATTTCTATTCCCCCATCACCCCGAGATATAAAAATCTCGTTGTAGGCATTCTGGCTTTGCTTATTCTCCCAAACTTTCTCGCTCGTTCTTTGATTTTCTCCCCCATTTCTTTCTCTCTCTCTATCCAACGTAGCCTCCATTTTCTTTGCCCCATTTCTCTCTCATCACTTCAGCTTAAGACCCAGGAGTTTTCTCACTTTGCTAATCCTCTTCATTGCCAGTAAGGTGAGCCTCGGAGCTCTTTGACTTGTCAAGTTTGTGTTTTTCTTTGTTGGGTCTCTGATCACAGCTTGAATTGTTGTTGTTTTTCTCCTGGGATTTTTATGGTTTCTGTTATATTCTGCTGATTTATTTATTTATTTTGTGTTCTTATTCTCTGTTACGAAGTTTTATGGCAGCCAATCCGTCTTCGATTGTGATTTGCGATTTTTAGAACTCATTTATGTGTTTTCTTTTTTGGTTTACGGCTCGGTTTGATTTTTTCATTTTCGTGACTCTGAGCGTTCGTTGAAGTTTGCTAACCTTATGGTAGCTTGAATCTGCAGAGGTTATGATTTCCAACGCAAATTGTGTTTTCTGATACCTTGGATTCTGTTCGTCTTGGGAGATCTAATGGCTTTAATCTGATGTCTCTATTTCTTGGTTATCATAGTGGATTGATTTATTATTTTATTTTAAAAAATATGCTAAGCATAGTTTCTTCCGTACTTCTTTGGCTTTTGTGGTACTGGTGTTTACTGGACTTCCCATTGATGTGTTTCGATCGGAAACGTTCTGCGGGAAACTCTTCCTGAGTATATACAACTAAGGTCTAGGATCAGGAGGATGTCATGCCTTGAAAAAGTTGAACAAGGAAATTTGATTGACTGAGATTAATTGATTTGCCTTGGGTTTTCATGCTCAAGGTAATGATTTAATCTCGTCTGGCGATGACATTGCTCTCTTTGTATTTTGAAACATACTTTTACCGAAAAATACCTTGAGCATCAATGTTTCGCTTTAAAACACCGAGGAAATACTATTTATCATGCAAAACGACTTTCCTTGCAATTTCTACTCTTCCCCCAATTTCGACTAGTGGTTTGGACTGTTATGCTTGACTCAGATTATCACATGTTTTTAGACAAAAATGGCATAGTTTTTAGATCGTAGGGGTTTTGATCTCTCGCACAGCTTTGAGCTTGGCTAGTTCAGCAAGAGCATTGCATTCAAAGCAATCTCAGAGTTTATGTAAGTGTTTTTCAATACCTCCTTTGAACTTTCATATCTATGCAACAAAAGAGAGGCATTAGAGTATGTATGCATAACAGTGTCTGTGAATTGTGATAAGTGGGAAATAGAGCCTGTATATTGGGTTTGCATAAAATACCTGCAAATATGTGATGATGTTACTATGTCAAAAGTAAGTTTATTTTCTCTTTTCTTCTGCAGGGTATCTACTAGGCCTTCTATGTTAGGTGGGAGTTATTGAGTGCCATAAAAATTTCATAGAATCTATTGTTGTGTTCATTCATGACTTTTTAAAATTTTTTTTACCTATTGCTTGCTCTCTATCAACAGGAGGAAAAAATTTGACATTGAGTATGTTCGAGCACCTGTGTGGAACCAAGCTAGTGAATATGCCTGAAATGAATCATAGTGGTAGTAAAAGTTGATTATATCTACAAATTTCCATATGCATGCGTTTAATCAATAGTGCTATATTGCTCTGATTTGTTTTTTCATGGTCCATTGTTTGTCATATGTAATATCCTAATAAGAACGGTGTCTTCTCTGTTGATAGAAGAAAGAAGGATATCAAGGAAACAATTACCCTTTCACTCTTGATGGCATCAAGATCATTTGCTAATCTCTTAGACTTGGTTGGTGGAGGCTTATTGGATGATCCTCGCACCCCAAGAGCTCTTCCAAGAGTTATGACAGTTCCTGGAATTATTTCTGACATAGATGGTCATGGTGATAATGATGCGGATTCAGATGCTAGCTCCTCTGGGTGTCGGGAGCGGAAAATAATAGTGGCAAACATGCTACCATTGCAGGCTAAAAGAGATGCAGAATCTGCCAAATGGTGTTTCAGTTTGGATGAGGATTCAATTTTATTACAATTGAAAGATGGTTTTTCTTCTGATACTGAGGTTATCTATGTGGGTTCTTTGAAAGTTGAGATAGATGCCAGTGAGCAGGAAGAAGTTGCTCAGAAACTACTGGAGGATTTCAATTGTGTGCCTACCTTTTTACCACATGAACTCCAGAAGAGGTTTTATCTTGGATTTTGTAAGCAGCAGCTTTGGCCCCTTTTTCATTATATGCTACCTATGTGCCCAGATCACGGTGATCGCTTTGACCGCATGCTTTGGCAAGCTTATGTCTCTGCAAACAAAATATTTGCAGACAAGGTCATGGAAATAATCAATCCTGATGATGATTTTGTTTGGGTTCATGACTATCACTTGATGGTTTTGCCGACATTTCTTAGGAAGCGATTTAGTCGAGTTAAACTTGGATTCTTCCTTCACAGTCCTTTCCCTTCGTCTGAAATTTACAGAACTCTGCCAGTACGGGATGAAATTCTGAGGGGACTGTTGAATTCAGACTTAATTGGTTTTCATACATTTGATTATGCTCGCCACTTCCTCTCTTGCTGCAGTAGAATGCTGGGTCTGGACTATGAATCTAAGCGGGGGCATATTGGTCTTGATTACTTTGGCCGCACTGTATATATTAAAATTTTGCCTGTTGGCATTCACATGGGCAGGCTTGAATCTGTATTAAATCTTCCTTCGACATCTGCTAAAATTAAAGAGATTCAGGAAGAGTTTAAGGGCAGGAAGATGATTCTTGGTGTTGATGATATGGATATCTTTAAGGGCATCAATTTGAAACTTCTAGCTATGGAGCAGCTGCTGCAGCAGAACCCAGACTTGCTTGGAAAGGTCATACTAGTTCAAATTATAAATCCTGCAAGGGGTTCAGGGAAGGATGTTCAAGAAGCAAAGAAGGAAACAAATTTAATCACCAAAAGGATCAATAGTACATATGGCTCCAGACATTATCAGCCAGTTGTTCTCATTGACCGTCCTGTTCTTCGTTTTGAAAAGAGTGCCTATTATGCTGTAGCAGAGTGTTGCATAGTCAATGCTGTGAGGGATGGTATGAACTTAGTCCCATACAAATATGTTGTCTGCAGACAAGGAACTACTCGACTGGACAAAACATTGGGTAGAAAAAGTGATTCCCCTCGTACAAGCATGCTTGTGGTCTCTGAGTTCATTGGTTGTTCCCCTTCTCTAAGTGGAGCAATTAGGGTCAATCCCTGGGATGTTGATGCAGTTGCTGATGCAATGTATTCGGCCATTACAACCTGTGATTCAGAGAAGCAATTGAGGCATGAGAAACACTATCGATATGTCAGTTCTCATGATGTGGCTTATTGGGCCCGCAGCTTCATGCAGGATTTAGAGAGGGCATGTGTAGATCATGACACTAAAAGGTGCTGGGGAATTGGACTGGGCCTAGGGTTCAGAGTTGTTTCTCTTTCTCCTGGATTTAGGAGGTTGTCCATTGACCATATCGTTTCAGCTTATAAAAGAACTCATAGAAGGGCCATATTTCTTGATTATGATGGTACTGTTGTACCACACTCTTCTATAAATAAAACTCCCAGCTCTGAAGTCATATCTGTGTTGAATACCCTGTGCAATGATGCCAAGAACAGTGTGTTCATTGTTAGCGGAAGGGGAAGAGATTCTCTTAGTGAGTGGTTTGCTTCATGCGAGAGGCTGGGACTAGCGGCTGAACATGGTTACTTTTTAAGGTGCGCCAGAAGTTCTATTTTGTAAGTTTTTCTCTTCATTCTCCCCTAGGTCAAGGTTTTGCTAATTGATTTTGGTATTGTGTATTCTTTTTGGACTGCAGGTGGAATGGAGACTCAGAATGGGAAACCAGTCACTTGTCTGCTGACCTTGAATGGAAAAATATAGTAGAGCCCGTCATGACTTCATATACAGAGGCAACTGATGGATCTAATATTGAAACTAAAGAAAGTGGTTTGGTGTGGCATCATCAAGATGCAGACCCCGATTTTGGATCCTGCCAAGCTAAAGAGTTGGTGGATCACCTGGAAAGCGTGCTTACTAATGAACCAGCTGTCGTTACGAGGGGCCATCATATCGTGGAAGTCAAGCCACAGGTTTGAATCCCAACCCTGTTTAATTTCTTCTGTATTCTGAAAAGCTAGAACCAATGTCTCACAATCTTGCTTGGCTCTTTACAGGGAATAAGCAAGGGTTTAGCAGCAGAGAAAGTTCTCTCGACTCTGGTAGATGGTGGGAATCTGCCAGATTTTGTGGTGTGCATCGGAGATGACCGGTCAGATGAAGACATGTTTGAGAGCATATCAAGGACAGTCGCTTGTCCTCGATTACCAGTTGCTCCAGAGGTCTTTGCTTGCACTGTTGGTAGCAAGCCTAGCAAGGCCAAGTATTATCTTGATGATACTGCTGATGTTATAAAATTGCTTAAAGGCCTTGCAGCCGCATCAAGTCCAAAGCCAAGGCATCCACCTCAGTTCAAGGTGTCTTTTGAAAGCACAGTTTGAGTTGGACAATGCAATTCAGAATTATTGACCCGTTAAAGCTGCGGTTTACTTGTTGAGATCCTTCACCTGGAGAATCAGATTTTGGTTATCAATCTTAAGCTGAAGGATGGTGGTGGAACATTGCTGTCACAAAATCAAATCCTTTCATGTCTCCTGAACCGGTTTGCACAACTGGACAGGGGATCCTTCCAGGTTTGAGGTCAAAACCGGGTTTACATGCTTTGTTGGACACAAATTTCTCTTGGTCCTGGTTCAGGAAATTCTTCTCTTGTACATGATTCCTTCAATTGCTGTACTTGCTGGGGCCACTAACTGGGGTTTTAGATTATTAGACCATATTGATGCCTGCAGCGAATTCGGGTATCGGTCTGTTTTTTTTTTTGGTTGCTTACAGGCTCCAACAAGCTGTATAGCTACAGTATAATATCTTCTAATACATAGTGGCAGTCTGGTTTAAGATCTGCTCGCAACAGTGATTTAATGCTTTTTTCCCCACATCATTCCCGCATTCTAAAACTCAAGTTTGGCAAAAAAAATTTAGATAATTTTTGTAGTCCTTAAAATTTTAATTTGATGTAATTTAATCCTTATAGAAGTAGTTCACGTGAATAAATGGAATTAATATATTTTTTTTAAAATCTTTTTTGGCCAACATGTTACTTGATATAGCATTGATGGGGCACTGAGTTATTCCAGGTTGAAGAAGAATTTACTTTGAAAATATTTTTGGCATGTAATATTCCTTGGTTTAATGAAAGGGACTGAACAAAAAAACTTGCTTGGCTAGGCCTTTTACCAATTATTTAAAATAGTTTAGTGTCTATGTTGTGAAATTATTTTATATCAATTTATCAATTAAGTTTGTAATTGTGGATTCGTTTCTCAGACGTGTATGTTTTCTCCAAATTTGATTATGTTATATAATGTTGAGTCCAAAAAAAAAGAAAAGATTATGTTATATAATGAGTGTGTGTGTGTGTGGAAATAAATAAATAACTTGTTTAGGGAATCTTTATCAATTAGGCCCCTAGCCCATCTTGATTGGGGAAAATTCTAGGTTAGCTCAACTAGGCCTATTTTTCCTTTTCCGTCCACTACAATACAAGGGGCTCACATTCCCAACCTTGTGTGGTTGTTTGATTATTGCGCTTAATTTAGGCCATTCACTGTTTAGAATTCAGATTATATGATTATATGTGCTTTCCTATATTAGAAGAAGCATGGCTCTTTGTATATTTTACGCGCGAAAAACTGTACTTTATTTTTTTAACTTTACCCAAAGTTTTAATTTTAATATAGTTTTCTAATTTTATAAAGTATTTTTTAATCTTTAAACTCTGTCATTGCTAGTCTTAAAATAATTATTTTTTGTGCTAATTTTTGTTATATTTTTAAAAAATGAATTTAGCATGCCAACATTTAAAAATGTGTTGTCAACATTTAAAATTTTCATGTTAGCATTTTTTGTTAATGAAACTACTGAAATGGTGTTAGAATTAGATTATTGAAAATACATTTCATCAAATTAAACGATTAAAGCATAATTTTATATAAAGTTAAAAGAGCAAAATCACACTTTTATTTACTTTATACTACCTCTAGTCCTTAATATAAAAGTTATTTGATTAATTTGAGTAGATTAAGAAAATTAGTTAAGTTAGTTATTTATAATAAATGTGTTGTTTTTCCTAAAATGTTCTTACTAATCAAGTATATTGGTTAGAACTATTATTATTATAAGGACTATCCTGAAAAAAAAAAAAAAGAAGAAACATAGTGGATTAGGGTTTTTTATTTAGGACTAAAATAAGAATTAATCGAGCTCTTATATTAAAGACCGAAGGTAGTATTTGATATTGGTAGCTTGGCATTCATGGTATTAATGATGATTACTAATGGCGGATGACGCATCCTTGTAATATAAAGTTGGGTTTATGCAAGAAGTTAAGAACAAAGAATAAGTAGCCAAAAAGATGCAAGTAAAAAAGAATAGGTCAATTACTCCCTCCGTCTCTTTTTATAAGATCTTTTTAGTCGAATCACACGATTTAAGAAAACAGTTAAAATTAGTTAAAAACAATTAATATGTAGCAAATATAATTTTTTTTTCAAATACACCCTTATATATAAATGGGTAAATATGAGAGAATAACGGTGAGATAAGTGAAAAAAGAAAATGTATTAAATGTATTAAACTAGGGATAAAATAGATAATAATGCATTAAATGCTCAGATCAACTCAAAGATAATTTTATAAAAAAAAACAAACCCATTCAAAATTGAATCTTATATTAAAGGACGGAGTAGTATACGGTAGAGACGGCTTGGATAAAATGAATTTATCTTTGAAAATAGTTTAGAAAATTTTAATTTTTTAAAATATTTTTCTTACTTAAATTTAGTTTTCAGAGAATTAAGTCGCAAATAAGAAATATAATTACTAAAAAGTTTCAATGAAAATAGAACAGTCTGTAATGACAAATTTTAAGATAGTAAATGACAACTTGTTTGTTATTAAAACTTACCAATAATTATTTTTATCTTAATACATCACTGTAGTTCTCTCTGTTTTTTTTTTTTAAGTTTTGAGCCTCATCAAATAATAATGAGAGGCGTCAATGAGAGGAACGCAGACTTCAAATTGACTAAGTACAGCTTACCAATTTTTTTCCTGAAAAATATTTATCCTTGAATTGTTGGTTAAAAAAAATAGCAAGTTCTTATAATTTAAATCAATTTTAAATTGTTCTTATCATTTATTTTATTTAAATTAGACCCTTATTATTTGATCTATTAATTTTAATTTGCAGATTTTATAGAATTTCATTTACAAAAATGTAATGAAACAAAGAGATTCTATAACATATAAATTAAATAATTGTTTTTGCACTCAAATATAAACATCTATAACTTCAAATTATAGGATCAAATTCAAACAAAATAAATTAGTTAAAATCTAATTTTGCTTTGAAATTTTTTGTATAGAAACCATATATATTTGAAAATTTTCTTAAATTAATATCATTTGCAAGTGTTAAGAAATGGGTAAAATAACCTTAACTATTTTTAATGATCAGATAAGGGATAATATTGCTTCTCTCTAAACACTTTCAAAGCGATGTTAAAAGGAAATTCTGATACTCACACTTCATGAACAAAAACTTTTAAGGGTATGTTTGACTCAATAAAAAGAAGGAAAGGGAAGGGATTTTAATAGAGAGAAGAGGAGGGGAGGAGAGTAGAATGGTTTTATTATTACCTTATTTGGATTTATAAAAAGAAAGGGGAGGGAAGGAGTTTTAATATTACTTTGTTTGGTTCATGAGGAAAGTGGAGGAAAAAATATTTTAACATGGACAATTTTATCCTTATTTTGTTTGAGATTATTTTTTTAAATTTTATAAAATGTTTAATAAAATAGAATTGTAAATAACATTTAATATATTGAGTAATATTTATACCAAAATTCTAATATACCACAGAGCGTGAAGTATTATTGAAGAGAAAGCTGAAGTAATGTTCAACCACAACTTGTATTGGATCCCATCTTTGAATGAAATATTTGGTCATGTAAAGAAGAAAGCAGCATCTGGAGACAAGAAGAAAAGGATTTAGGGTAGTATAGAGATATTAAAAAATAAATATGAGTATAATGGTTCTAACATGACAAAATATTGTCTTTTCTCTTCAAATCCTCCTAATTTTGGAGAGGAGGTTGAGGAAAGGACTCCTAAAATTTGTGTGTTGCCAAGTAAGGGGATATGATTAAAATCTCTCTCTCCTTATCCTCCCCTCCAAATCTCTTATAGCAAACCCACCCTTAGGGTATGTTTGGCTCAATGAGAGGAAGGGGAGGGGAGAGATTTTAATAGAGGGAAGGAAAGGGGAGGAGAGTGGAAGAATTTTAATATTATCTTGTTTGGATTTATAAAAAAAGAGGGGAGGGGAAGGAAAAATATTTTAATATGGACAAGTTTACTCTTATTTTATTTAAGATATGGACATAATGGTCACAACATGACAAAATATGGACATAATGATCACAACATGACAAAATATGAACATAATAATCATAAGATGACAAAATATTGTCCTTTTCCTCCAAATCCTAAAATTTATGTGTTGCCAAACAAAAAGAAATGATTAAAATCCCCCTTCTTCTCTCCCTTCCCTCCCAAATCTCTCATACCAAACACACGCTTAAAACAAAAATTATACATTAACCCATTGAAGTAGATAATAATTTTGATTAATTTTTCTAAGAAAAAAATGATCCTTCCATTTTTCACAGGGTGAGGAAAAGAGCTATCACAGACCAATAGGAATTTGGTAAAAAGGCAGCTGAACGGACAATTCTATGTGACAACTTGTCATGCTATCTCACTTCCTTTTTGAGAATTTGTGTCATTTCATTTCAGCAATTGAGATTTTTGGCCAAAAAAAAAAAAAAGAGAATTGAGACTCACAAACAGCAGACACAAAACGCGAGCGTTCGTTCGTTGAATGAAGGAGGAGGAGGAGGAGGGAGAAGGAAAGGACTCTGTCCCTGAAATTTACAGACTCGTAATACTTACACACTTCCCTCCATTTCAGATCCAAATCTCTATTACCATCTGCTCAACTCTACTTCTCCCGCTGTTATTCATCGCTAAAAGCAATTGGACCGCGGTCATCATATTTGGAACGACAAATTTATGATTGTCAGCTAAGGTGGTTCGTGATTGATCGCGCGTTCGATTTGATAATTTGACTGTTGTCGATTGGATCAGACTGAACTTTCTCAGACACAATTATGAATCCCTTCTCTTCAGGGACGCGCTTGAGGTGAGCAATGGATCCTGCTGTTTCCGTTTTTTTGAATCATGAGCAAGGACTGTAACCCGCCTAGTCTTAAACGAGAGCATGCAATGTGTTGATGATAATTATCGACTGACTGTCCCAAAATCTTGAACACCCAGCTTTAAATATTTTTTTTTTCCCAATCGGATTGACTGTTCCCGCTCTTTATATTGTATCACCTCGGACAAATACGTACAAGCAAACTGCGGTGTATCTATGCATTTTCAATTTTATCGATCTTTGTTTTAGTTATAGAAGATTGTGGCTTGCCGTGAAATAGGATTCAATGGCTGGCTTGGTTTGTGGTTTTTGGTTTTTTTTTTTTTTGGGGGGGGGGGGAATTAATGATCGTTGACTCTTTGTCAAGAATTTATATCATAGCTGCTTTCTGGATGAGCTAGGGATGACCTACAGTATTTGGTGCACGTTTAAATTTATCGATTAATTCTACACGCATAAGATTTTTCCTTTAACTTGGCGAAGCTGGATTTGATCACATGGCAGTCTTGTCCAAGTCAAATAGCGATCAATCACTGTACCTCTGCAGCTCCATTTTCTCAAGGGGGGACAGAAATAAAAATTGATCAGAGAGGAAAGTAAATATATTGAGAAACTGGATTTTGAAATGTTGACCTTACTTTAATTTTTCTTGTTCTGTTAACCCAGTGATTGGATGGCTCCTAATTTCTATGCATATGGTAGGCTGGTAGCCTATAAAAGTGGCAAAAAAAAAAAGATCACTTATTGTGGCCAAGATAACGATTTAAATACATAAATACACAAGGGAAACAGGATTTGCTCTCTATGTCCTCTCTAACCAACACAACAAATTACAGTACCACCTGTACGCCTTTGAAGTTTCTTTCCATTGTTACTGCTTTTAAAACCAACGAAACTAAGCAGCAAAAGTAACTCCATTTATTGGGAACCAAATCCTGTGTTCACCTGAAGTCCTTAACTGCTATTACAGAAATATAGTTTCAATATTTCAAGCAACTGAACAATGTAAAGCATTAGCAAGGTTCGGGGTTATAAGAATGCACAACTCATAATTATGAGACGAAGCAGTATTTGGCCTGTATAAGCTAAATGGATCTAGTGTATTCGTCTTGTTAATTAATGCAAACAAGATGGAGAGGATTTTATGTATGAAATCACTGTGTTGTTATTCAGTTCTTATTATCTGTTTAATGGAGTTTCCTTTATGAATGTACAGAGACAATAACAACAATATTATAACTTATAAGCTTTTCAATAGGCTTAGTTTTGCCGTTACATATAGTGGAGGTTCTTTTTTCATTAAATTCTGTAGAATCTCTACTAGCTTTTGCCTGATAAACTCTTATGCGATTGACAACTCTTGCACATTCATTGACTTGAGAATTTGTTATGTTCCTTGTTTACATGTGTACTTTTTTTTAAAAATATCATAGAATACATGTGGGTCTTTGTCTAAGGGGTTTTTTTGGGTGTTGACTCTAAAATTCAATGTATTCTTTTGTTGCAAAATCAAATAATTACATAACATATTGGTGGTTGTTTCTGTATAGAATTTCACGTTGTATTGTCAATTTCTTCTCTGTTTTTAAATACTACTACAATATTTGAACAAAGTAATTTATATTCCCATTTGTAGGGACATGATTCGGGCTATACGTACCTGCAAAACAGCAGCAGAAGAACGTGCTGTTGTGAGAAAAGAGTGTGCTGCTATTCGTGCTGCGATTGATGAAAATGACCAGGACTATAGGCATCGGAATCTGGCTAAGCTAATGTTCATACACATGCTTGGCTACCCAACACATTTTGGTCAAATGGAATGCCTCAAGTTAATTGCTTCTCCCGGCTTTCCAGAGAAGAGAATAGGTTATCTTGGCCTTATGTTGCTTCTTGATGAAAGACAAGAGGTTCTGATGTTGGTCACAAACTCCTTGAAACAGTATCCGATTTCAATTTGTTTGTTTCTATATGTCCCCATTTTTGGATTCTAATTTACAAAGTTAGTGTTTTTGATGTTCTACTGAAACATTATGAGAGAGAAAAAATCTAAATGTTCTGAGACAAACTTAACTTAGTCTCAGAGATCTTAATCACGCAAATCAGTATATTGTTGGACTTGCGCTTTGTGCTTTAGGAAACATTTGTTCAGCAGAAATGGCTCGTGATCTTGCACCAGAGGTTGAAAGGTTGCTGCAATTTCGAGACCCAAATGTCCGGAAAAAGGTGACTTTTTATTACATGTCCCTTCCTTGGACTTTTTGAATCTTAAAGTTTTGGAAAATTTGATGCATATATTGGATTTTTATCATCTAGTGATGTATATTTAATGGGAGGAGAAGTGGCCATGAATGCTTCTATGGCCTCAATATTCCCCTCTAAATGACAGTAACTATTTGCTATCTACTTAAGGTAATGGGAGAAGCAGCCATGAATGCTTGATCATTTCGATTCATATAAGATGTGATTCTTTTTTATGTGGAAGTTTGCTTTCTGATGTTCTTTAAAGTATGCAATCTCAAACAAGTTAGTCATTCTACATTAAGTTGTCAGTCTTTGTTGGTCCCCTATCCCAGCTAAGAATGATAGCTATAGCTATTGTAATTTTGAAGTTGAAGCTAAGCCTATCATATTTAACTTCTTTGGTAGTCATTGGTCATTCTGATGAATTGACTTTACTTTGATTGATTGTAGGCAGCATTGTGCGCAATAAGAATCGTAAAGAAGGTTCCAGACTTGGCAGAAAATTTTATCAATTCTGCTGCTGCGTTACTTAGGGAGAAGCATCATGGAGTTTTGATCACTGGGGTTCAGCTCTGTACAGAACTGTGTAGAGTTAGCGCAGAAGCCCTTGAATACTTTAGAATGGTAATTTGACATCTTTTTGGTAATTATGCTTCCTATAGACTTGTAATTGTAATCTTTTGCACCAGCTAAACGCTAATGATATTTATTGAAGTATACTTATTTAAAATGGGCTTAAGAATCACCAAAAAAATTCATTTACTTGCTTAATGTAATCTAATATTTATTTGAATATAATCCTTGATTTAGGTATGAGTGAATATCGTGCAAAATTGTAATATTTTAGTATTCTTTTTCTTGTTAAACAGAAAGAAATAAGGCATGAGCTGTGTTCATGGGCTACTATTATTGTGTGCATAAACCATGGACTAGATAACAAATATTACAGGCAGGGACTTTCTGTAATTTCTTGTATTTAAGGGCCTTGAAGCAAGGCCCATATGTGCTGATTTTTAGTATTTTACTTAGTTTTTTTTTTTGGGTGATTCTTACAGAAATTCATCCCTGATTGTGCAATCTTTTAGTTATAATAAAAGTTTTCATTTATGGTAGAAATGCACAGAGGGTGTGGTCAGAAGTCTCAAGGACCTAGTTAACAGTCCTTATGCACCAGAGTATGACATTGCTGGCATCACTGATCCTTTCCTCCATATTAGATTGCTTAAGCTTTTGCGAGTACTGGGTGAAGGCGATGCTGATGCTAGTGACTTGATGAATGACATACTTGCACAGGTCAGCTGTGTGTTGATGGTCATTTTTTGGTATTAAATTTGTTATATTCTTCATGCTGCAGTGATTGGATAAGTTGGCATTTCTGCCTGATTCTGTTGTTAACTCTGTTTTTAGAAAACTATACCTGCGGTTAGGATATCCTTTCCACTTGCTTACATTTGATTATCACATTTTCTTTTCACATGCCAAACCAAACTATTGTGGATAGGTTAATAAATGATAGAAAAATTCATCGAAGGAAATTTGTGTGGCAGGAAATACTACTAGGATTTTGTCATGTTTGTGTGGTACTGATCTATGGAGAACTTGAATTTTCTATTGTCTTCAAAGCTGTTGTACTTCCAACTGAACCCCTTTTTCTAGAAGAAGTAAATCAAAATCTTTGACCTGTTTTGCTGCAAGGAGAAGGGATGGCTTCTCTTTGTTAACTCTTTCTAATCTTATAAATGATATTTTATCCAAGGCATGAACTAGTGAAATATCCCTACTGTAATTTTGTATGCTTGATTTTCTGTTGTTCAAAGCCTCAAACCTCAAACCTTTCATTGGTCCGAGCCAAGTGTTTTTTTTTTTTTTTGGGAAATGTTGAAGCAGTAAATATTCTGATCATTTGTTAATTCTCTATTTCTAGACTCTGGTTTTTGATTTTCCTATTAATGGTTGCATGTTATGGTGATAATGAGTTTGAGTTTTGATAGTTTTTGAACTTGATGATCTTATTCCTAGGTGGCTACCAAGACTGAGTCAAATAAAGTTGCAGGAAATGCCATTTTATACGAATGTGTTCAAACAATCATGAGTGTTGAAGATAGTGGTGGCCTGCGTGTGCTCGCCATCAATATCCTTGGAAGATTCTTATCAAACCGTGACAACAATATTAGGTGTGTTTTGGACATTGCTATTTTCCTTTTCTCAATAATTTGTCATATCTTTAGAAAGCAACAAACACCAATTCAGTTAGTTATAATGTATGCTAAGCAAAATGTCTTTTATAAAAGTGAAAGGAAAAACAAAAAAAATAAGCACCTTTACTAGAGTAATGAATTGAAGGGTGTAATGGCTTTTTGTGAATGAGATGTTACTGTTTTACTTTATTCGCTTCTACTGCCAGAACAACTGTCATCACTGCTGCCATTTTCCTCCACCACTATTATTACTATTGCAACTGCTCCGCCACAAAAATGGAATATTTACTTTCATATCTAATGACATATCTGTCCAGTTAGTTATTTTTTCACCTTCCTATTCAGCTTCTATTATTCATATACAAACACATGATAGTATTTTGTTATGCAATCTAATTTGTGAGTGAAACAGATGCATTATAGTACAAAAGGTATGACAAGTAGCTTATACAATATAATTTAGCGCTTTTTACAGCGTCAAAGACTTAGCCTTTACTGTTCATAAGATGGGGGGTCTCAGTGTCTTTGGATGTATTGTGAGAATTGTAATGTTGCAAAAGTTTCTCTCGCAAGAGTCATGTTTGCAAGAAGCAATCTATGTGGGAAATGCAAACTTCGCTTCTTCCCTAACCAGTGTTTATTTTGTTTGTCTTCATTGAAATAAGATTCTCATTTTGTGCCAAAATCATGAGGTGAAAATCTCAAGAGTTCTCGTGTCCTTTTATCACTTAGCTTGTGCATAATAAATTCTTTGGCGACCTTGGAACTTGAATATATTCTTTTTGTGTAGCAAACTTGCAGCATTTTAAGTTGGCACATATATATTTTAAAAAAATTACTTTTCAGGGGAAGCTTTTTGTAACCACCTTCAGTCCTAGTTGATTTACTTCTTGTATATCTTGCATATGGGATTTTTCAATATAGAATCTAAACCAACCTGTTATTCTTGACTCCCTGTGTTGACGTCTTGATTAGCTAAATCCATGTTATTTTTATATTTTCTTTCTGCTTTCTAAATGTCTCATCTTTCTTGAGTGCTCTGGGCCTTATAGATCATTTCATACCTTATTCTGTTTACTTGCTACCCTCCATTATTGAGTGAATTAACTTTTTCCTACCATTCTTCAGGTATGTGGCATTAAACATGCTGATGAAGGCTGTAACAGCTGATGCTCAGGCAGTGCAGAGGCATCGAGCAACTATTCTGGAATGTGTAAAGGTATTAGTTGAATGGCCTTGTAATCTGTTTAGCATATAATTAAAAATTCAATGGATTTCTTTTACAGATTGAAAAGCTATTGACTTCACATTTGTTTCAGGATTCAGATGCTTCAATTCAGAAAAGAGCTCTTGAACTTGTCTACGTTTTGGTGAATGAAAGTAATGTGAAGCCCTTAACAAAAGAGCTAATTGATTATCTGGAAGTCAGTGATCAAGAATTCAGGCCTGACCTTACTGCCAAAATTTGCTCTATAGTTGCCAAGTAAGCCATACAGGTTTTGAATGGCATCCTCTTTAGGTTGCATGAATATTTTGATCATTTCGAATTATTTTTTTTTATTTTCATTTTTCCTGATGGGAAGTAGGTGCCAGAATTCCACTTTTATCTTCTCTGCATCAATCTTCAATCTTTTTTTGACAATGCAGTCTTTTCTTTGCTCTAAAATTCCATTTCACATGGGCTTTGCCCTGTTTTCCGTTACTATTGTTGGTTCAGAATTATGACCTATGAAGTTTATTTAAGCTGCACATAATGTATTTGGTTGATTGGGATTTAGGTTTTCTCCAGAGAAGATCTGGTACATTGATATCATGCTCAAGGTTCTCTCTGAGGTATAAATCTACGCACAACCTTTTGTAGGTGATTGAGAGTTTGAAAATTGAAACAAAGAAATATCTTGATCTTGCTAATATTTAGGTTAATCCTTATTTCAGAATTTCTTTTATGAAAACTCTGTTGCTTCTCAAAATGTCTTCACTTTCATTCGAAGAAAAATTATTGCTATGACAGCTTATTATATTTTTGCATTCACATAAAGTATTTCATCATTTGATGACTTGTTTGTCCAAACATGAAATCTCATTACTGAATATATATGGCAATGTTATTTTTTTATTCTGTGTTAGCACAAGACTCATGCTACTTCTATGAATTAGTTGCAAATTATCAGTACTGACTGTGGATTGAGACTGCTGTTTTGATGCATGCGTATTATGCAACCCATATTGAGCTATGTTAATCATATATTGAGTGCAAGTATTGATTGTTATGCTATGTTAGTAGGCTGGAAACTTTGTAAAAGATGAAGTATGGCATGCATTAATTGTTGTGGTAAGCAATGCTTATGACCTTCATGGCTACACAGTAAGAGCATTCTACAGAGCATTGCAAACTTCCGCTGAACAGGTGCTTATTTATACTCCTACCAAATCTACGTATACAGTTAATTATTTCTTAATGCGCTCAATAATTATAGCACTGTCTATTACTTTCATAGGAAAGTCTTGTTCGAGTTGCAGTGTGGTGCATTGGAGAATATGGAGATATTTTAGTTAAGAATGTTGGGATGCTTGACATAGAAGATCCAATAATGGTTAGTCTATGTTTTCTGCTTGATATTTTCTTCATAAGCTTTGTGTTGTATCTATTTCGTCATGTTGCCTGAAAATGATAATCACTTGAAAACAAGCAGTAGTTCATGAGTTGAAAAAATCTGGGCATTAGTGTGTTTCTTTTTCCCAGCCAGTGGGCGTGATATGTTCTTGGTGAAAGCCTGAAATCATAGATGTAGTACAATTGAGCAGAAATTGGTCTTCTAACTACTGAAGCTTTTAGTATCGCATGCTTTTGTATGCAAGCTCATTGAAATGCCTTGTTATAAAAAAAAAAAAAACTTAAATTTCATTTCTTCCTTTCTCAAAAAATATAAATATAAATATAAATAAAAACACCCACACAGAGGCTTGTTATTTTTCCCTTTACAATATTAACTTTCTCTTCGCAAGCAGGTGACTGAATCAGATGCTGTGGATATTCTAGAGATGGTCATAAAACGACATGCATCAGATCTTACCACAAAAGCAATGGCTTTGATTGCCCTGTTGAAACTTAGTTCTCGTTTTTCATCTTGTTCAGAGTATGTTGTAGTTTACTGAATTTTGGTTAACTTCATTGGTAAAAAAATTGTTAATTACACTATACCTTTCATTGTTTTTTACTAGTTTTCCTGCCTTTTCTCTTGAGGAACATAATTTTCTAGTTAAGAACCACTAGATTCAAGTTATTATAAAACTTGGCCCCTTTTTGTATGTATTTCATCTCCATCACAAGATCTTTTGACTCATGTCCCACTGTATGTTTGTACACACATACAACGTTAATTTCAATTATGTTTGTACGTTTGATGCGTAAGTATGATTTTCTTTTTCTCGATGAAAAAGGATGATCCTGTTTTGAATAATTTATACAGGAGGATCAGGAATATAATCATTCAGTATAAAGGAAACCTGATGCTTGAATTGCAGCAAAGATCTGTAGAATTCAATAAAATTCTTGCAAATCATCAAAATATTAGGTGAGCTTAACCGATTATCTAGTTTATGTTATCAAAAACTTGAATTTCTAGTTCATTCTTACAGGAGGGTTTAATATTATATGATGCAGTTCTGCACTTGTAGAAAGGATGCCAGTTTTAGATGAGGCAACTTTCATTGGTAGGAAAACTGGTTCTATGCCAGGAGCAGCTTCAACTCCTACAGGACCTTCAGTTAATATTCCAAATGGAGTTGCCAAGCCTTCTGTGGCCCCTCTTGTTGATCTGCTTGATTTAAGCTCAGATGATGTTCCTGCACCTGGCTCCTCTGGTGGCGATCTCCTTCAAGACCTTCTTGGTGTTGATTTGCCATCAGCATCACCATCAGCATCACAACAGCTGGGTTAGTATCTTTTTTCCATATTAGTATTGATTATCTTATATCACAAGCATAAATAGACGTATTTTCCTTAAAGCAAAGTAAGCAGCAGTTATCTGTAAACACCTCTTCTTGTTTAAACTTTAAATCTCTGGGGCTTGTAGTTACATAAGTACATGTTGACAATCCATCCAATCTTATTTAGTGGCATTAAAGGGTTTTGGATTGTTCTATCCATCATCAGAGAATTGACTCCAGAAGCATGCAACTTGGACCAGAAGGCCAACCCATGCAGTAGGAAATGGAAGAGTTTACTGTATGTTTGTATATGAAATAATAAAATTATTAAAAAGTTACCATCATGCTTTAGATAGAAGATAGTACTAGCAAAATATGATTTAGTGCGATACAATCAAGCATAATGTTTTCCATATATGACTGGACTAACTTTTCGTGGTACCTTCTGTTTATTCATTTGCCACTTTGTCAGAATATCAAAGATTTGTGCTTTAAAATTTAAATGACAAATTTTCTAGTTGTAGACTTGGTGCATCTGTCCTTGAAAGACTAAGGATAGCTCAGGCTTTATTTCCTAATTATTATTGATCATGGAGTGCTGTGAGGCATAATTCAAAATAGGAGGCATGATAATAAGTAAAGATAATTGTTGGATTACCAAAAAAGAAATTTTACTGGTTGATTAGTCACATGGAGTTGATTATTGAAGTTGAAGGTGGAAATGTACTGGGGAGCTTGCTTTTCCTGTGAATGAGATGAAGATGTGTAACAACATCTAAAAGCACGGAAACTCGTGTACATTTTTTTTTCTTTGGTCTGAGCTTTATTTTGCATTTTTAGGTTCTGGTCAAGCTCCGAAAAGTGGTACCGATGTTCTTTTGGATCTTTTGTCTGTTGGATCACCTTCTGTGCCTACTATATCATCTGCACAAAGCCTCCCATCTACAACAGACATCTTATCCTCCAGTATGAATAACAAAACACCAATTTCACCACTGGATGATCTCACGTCTCTCTCACTTTCTGCAAGAGCAACTAGTGCTGGAGCTGCTTCTATGATGGATTTGTTGGGTGGCTTGGCCCCTAGCCCTCCAACAGGTAGTTCAATTTTTCAAATCTGGATTTTTCTTTCTATGAATAAAATGTAGCTCGGAAGTTCTGATTCTTCTTGTCCCTATGTATTGTTGAATAGAAAACAATGGACCAGTTTATCCATCCATAACTGCATTTGAGAGCAGCTCCTTGAGGGTGACATTCAGTTTCTCCAAAGAACCAGGAAAACCACAAACAACAATTATTCAAGCTACCTTTACGAATTTGACTTCTAATACATGTACAGATTTTATTTTCCAGGCGGCAGTTCCTAAGGTATATCACTCATCATGGGATTCATCACTGTGTTTATGCTGCTCTTGACTATCATTCTTTTACGTGTAGCTTTAGCTTCGTTTCAAAATTGCTATCAATGTATGTCATGATTTAGATCATTGTTCTGTTAATTGAAGTTTCCATAAATTCTAGCTGTTGTTGAAATTATCTTTGTTTGGCATGTGATTGTAAAGTCCTTACATGATTGAAATCCTTTGGGTGTACCTTCTTAAAGAGATGGATACAAACAATTGAAATCCATTGCAATTTGCTACTCGACGTATCAGTGCTAAATAGTTGCATGTATTCTCTGATGTATGTTAATCATCAACTGTCTCTCAGGTTTTTTCATCGGAATCTTAAATTCTCTAGAAGATTTTATATTTTTTTTCATGCAGAACTTATTTATTTGGGTATTTAATTTTCAGTTTCTTCAATTGCACTTAGATCCAGCTAGTGGCAATGCTCTGCCTCCTAGTGATGATGGGTCCACTATCACACAAAAATTGAGAGTTACTAATACCCAACATGGCAAGGTATTTGAATTGTGTTTTCCCTGTGATCCATATCAATTTTAGCTGTTTTTGTATCCTGAGATTATTGTTTTCTGCTTTTATATTGTGTGCCCATCTGGCTTAGTTACACTTTCTCTTTGTTAGTTATGATTTATAGTGGATCCTGATAACCAGAACAGGAAAACTGTACACCAGTAAATATGGAGAAATACTTACAATTAACTGTCACAAGGAACGGAATCAGTGTTACAAAAGGATTCTCAATGATTCTGGTCAAAGCCCTAGTCCCCAATACAATCAGTACGGCAGGAAACTTCAGCAAAATACACAAAATACTGATACCGAAGCAGTACACGCCACTGGCGTTCGAGAGGCCAGTGTCTCCTCACCACCCTCAGTTTTCCAAATGCATCACATGAGCTCCCCCTACCCCCCCAAGAAAACGCAGAAGGCCTCTAAAAGCCCAAAAAGTATCAAACACCATTTCTAACACAAGCAACACCTTTACACCACTTCCAATATATTCAAGACAATTGTACAATAGAGTATACAACAGGCCGTACAATAGGCTAAAAATTATGCGGTCAATTATACAGTAGACCATACTCTTTCCCATTATATATGAAACATATTGGTTGGATATAACTGGGGGCACGTAAGGCTAAAAATATACTCAAGACAGTTGGTGCTTTGTTTCATAATTTTTTGTTTTTGTCCAATAAAAGAATGAGTTTGGCGTTGGTGGTTGTGGCCTGCTATTGCAAAACCGTTGGTGATTTGGGTCCAGCCGTCTAGGTCTATTGATGGTTCACTTGAGAAGTCATTGAGGTTCAGTTAAAGAAACAAACATTAAAACTCTTTTAATGCATGATAACAATCTTCTTATTTTGCTATGCATATCTATGTTAAGTGCTTCTTACAGAACAATTGACTAACTAGCATATGTGTACCTTATTGTTTTCAGAAAAATCTCGTGATGCGTATAAGGATAGCATACAAGATAAATGGCAAGGATACCCTAGAAGAAGGACAAATCAATAATTTTCCTCGTGAGTTATGATGAGGCCAATATTCTCTTAGATAGCGTGATAGTTTTCTTTTGGATTCCTCCTCACTCTCTTTTGGTCCGAAGCCGATAGGAAGTTAAAGTCACCAAGGTAAGTTCCTGAGTGGTGATGACATGGTGATGCACAGAGCCCTTAGTTTTCTTTTCCTACACAGTTTTATCACTTTTGCAGTTTCGCCTTTTCATTTCTTCAAATGAGAGTCGTATAGTTGAAGCCTCTGGGACCACATTATGGCTCAAATTTGGAGTCTGCTTGGTGATTTCATATATATATGCTTTTTCTTTCTTTCTTTTGCCTTCTTTTTTCCCCTTCCTAATTACGTGGTTTATGTACATTATTGCCAAATAGTCATGTATGAAAATGTTAAATCAAATTTTGCCTTAGAGCTTCATGTGTCACAATGAGAAACTGAGGTGGGGTGCTTTTCCAATCTTGCTACTTGCCAGCAAAACAAAACTATTACTACTATTTCATTAAGATAAACCAGTAGAGTTCAGAAGCAGAGAAACAAAATATTAACGTTGAATGCAATTTGTTATTCATCATAGAATTAGATAATTGTCATGCTTTATTTGATTTTATGTGACAAAGCTTTCTTCTCCAGATTACTGAAATGTAATATCATAGATAACTTGTTGCATAACTGACGCAAGTTCTGGCTCTTCAATGGATTTTTTTTTCCCAAAAAAAAAAAAAACACTATTACATTCCTATACCATGAAGGGTAAAGATCCATTGAGAGTGTGCAACAATATTTATTTTATCTTTTTGCCAGCGTTTTTTTTTTTTGAGCCGGCGGAACATTTTTTTATCAAAGATTGGGAGGTTTCTTTATTTATATATATTTTTGGGTGATATTATTTATTTACATATTGAGAGTGCGGAACAATATTTATCTTATCTTTTTGCCAGCATTTTTTGTTTTTTTCCTCTGAGCCAGCAGAACATTTATTTTATCAAACATCGATGGAAATTACCTGAGACTTAAATGCCTTATGTGTGGGGAAAATCAGTTTGGAGGTACTTTTATATGTGTGTGTATTTCAATTTTCAATTTGATACGGACATGTTTTTTTCTCCTTTTAATTAAATTTTTAATTTTGCAAATATCGCTAATCCTTATATAGTGACTAAAAACACATAGGTACCGGATTAGTTAAAAATTAAGGGAAAGTATATGTACTTTCAATGTGATAACAATATTTTCTGAGGTTTAACTCATTAATTTGAACTTTTAATGCCTGTCTTTCCCTCTCATACACGCATAAAATTTATTTGACGTTGGATAACATGAAAAAGATTACCTATTAATAAAAATATAACGTATAATATAGTCCAAATGGAACAATCATCAGCCCATTTTTATTTTTTTTTTCTGATCACAAAATACACATTACTCACTTTTAGTGCTTGATAATATCTTGAATAAAATTATTTCTAATAGAAGAATACTTGTGCCTGACAAAAAATTTTTTTGCCCTCCTCCTTTTCACATACATGCTTGCGCACTTATTATGATGTGTATAATTATTATACTATCTCCGGTCTTTAATATAAAAGCCAGATAGGGATTGGAATTAGTTTTAAATATAAGATTTCGATTCACTTTGCCTCTCAACTTTTCTCAAAATATTCCAATTGATTGTAAAATATTCTCCTTAAGGAATAATTCCAGCCATCCAATGCACATTAGTTATACAATGCACATGATTGAAAATGATAATTTAAAGAAACCAACACATGTTTGTGACAAATAATTAATTTAACTAATTTTTTTAATTTTTTTAAATTAATTATCTCGTTCTTATATTAAGAACGTAAGCTAGTATTATTTATCTATTTTTTTTCTTCAGAAAACATAACTATTATTCGTATTATTGAAATTATTTTTATTATTTTTTTCGGTACTTCGTTGGTTGAACATTGTAATGAAATTGCATTTCTGGAAAATAGTATGCTTAGTATGTTTGGGATTAGTGGGAAAGCAGGGTTGTGGCCTTAGATAAAATGTGATAACCTTTTTCACAAAAGAAAAAAAAGTAATGACCTCCCAATAAGTATTATAAGAAAATAATTTTTGTTCTTTGAATGGAATTTTCCAGATGACGCCGAAAAGGCGCATATCCGAGAGAATGACTAGAAATAACTTAAAATTAGAAAGTTACTTAACTCTGTTTTTACCTAATAACTTTTTTCAGAACTATAAATTTACTGGTATTTGAAATACTATTTAATGATAAATATTAAAAAATTTAAAATAATAAGATATATTGATTTTCATAAAATTCCACCTTCTAATGTATTCAATCCAGGTCTACTCTTAGGATGTAACAAGGTATATTTTTGTAACTAGATTAAGAAAATTTGAACCTTGGAGGCTTAAACAAATGCCCACATCACTCTTTAACATTTTAGAGTTTGGTGACAATCTTTATAAGAGTCGGTTTGCTTTTGCATTTTTTTTTTTTGAGTGCAAGCTTGAACACTACCTTTGGATGAGTTGGGAGCGAAGAGAAAAAGGCAGACCTAAGTTTGTGTCTTTTTTTCTTTAAATGAAAATTAATTTTTTAATCCTTGTATGTTTGACTCTGTTGTAATTTTATTTCTGAACTTTAATTCAATGCACCTTGTTTTTTATGGATTTAAATTACTAAATTGAAACTATAAGGATTAAATTATATCAAGTTAAAATTTAAAGATTGAGTTATAATTTGATTCTAAACAAAAGACATCAATTTACTTTGTCTATAATATTTATCCATTTTGTCTTCTAATAACCTCTATGGTGATTGCACGTATAAAGAGTCTATGTAGTTCTTTTTTTGATATGGAAAAGATTTTTCATTAGACGAGAAGAAAATACAAACTCTAAGAAAATACAAACACCAAAGTAGCAAAAAAAAAAAAAGGCAATAGGACCAAAAAAACCTAAACAAAGCCTAGATAGAAACAGCAATTACACCAGAAGACGCAAAACAAGAAAACAGAGCCTATGACTCATGGATTGAAAAGAAGATATGAACAATTTTTGTCTGCTATGAACGGAGGAGAAATGGCAATGGAAAGTGGTAGTCCAAGGACTAGCTTCAAAGAAGCCCCCAGTCTTTGGTGCCAAAGCTACAATATAAGCAGCTCCAAACTCCCCTGCAACCACAAAGGGAGAAGAAAATATCCGAAAACATCTGAAAGTTAATATCAATGAGTGGTTTTAATGCACAATATTAATAGAAGCCTTTTAAAAAGAAATAACATCTATTTATTATAAATAACTAATTTAACTAATTTTTTTAATATTCTCAAATTAGTTGTCTAGCTATTATTATCGTTTTTTTTTACAAAGCTTTTGTTTAACAACAATATCTATTCACTATTCAATATCCAAATTAGATTTGATAAAAATATGTTTTAGGGGTATACGTTAGATGGTTTGGATTAGACTAGGGGTGGTAATATGAGCTAACCTACAATGCGAGTTCAACCCATATGAGTCAGGTTGAAAAATGTTGTTTGTAAACAGGTTGGCTTTTAGCCAACCCTAATCCGCTAAGGTGGGTTGACTTGCCAACCCACCAACAATTATTTTTTTTAAAATTTTTTATCTTTTAATTTTTGTATTTAATATTAAAAAAATAATGAGATTTTTGTTTTTTTCTTGAAATATTTGATTGGAAGCACCAAATAAATTATATATGTATTTTTAAAATTTTTTAGAAATAATATTATATATAATAATATAATTATAATAATTTTAAAAATAAAAAAAAAATGTGGGTCAACCCCCGAGTTGGCAAGCTAACTCGTGACATGTTGCAGGCTTGGCGGTGTGAGTTAGAAAGATCATATTTTTGGCGGGTTGATGGGTTGGACCTGTGAGTTCAAGCCATATTACCAATCCTAAATTAGACTAAAGCCTGACCTCTAATCTAATTTTTGGTTGAATTGAGTTTAGCAATATGTGGTTTAATCCAATCTAGTAGTAACCTGAGATTAGGTTGAACAAGACTTAAGGGGTCTTTGGAACACCGTAAAAGCACTTTTTAGAAATACTTTTCTGCAAACCAAGGCAAATTCTTTCATATATTTACTTCATATACTGTAAAAACACTTTTGAAACCATAATTTTGTTTTTATCCAAACGCTCTCTTAGTCTACCAGAATAGTGGATTAGTCTAGGACCCTAATTTTTTTTTTCTAATTTTTTTTTTATGGGAAACAAGATTTCAATACAATAAAAACCATGAAGACAATAAAAAAATATCTATAATCATATAAAAATCATCCTAACATGTTAAATTTTAATTATAAGTACATAATAATCTCTAACAATTAAAGGTAATATCTAAATTATAAATTATAAAAAAAATAGAAAATTTACCTGGGCCAGACCGAACAATTTATGTGGTCCAATCGTTTAGTCTGGAATTCAGTCTAACCCGGCCAACAAATGTAGTTTGATTTTTTTTTTTTTGGGTACAGAAGGAGGGCTAGAGCCCAAGTTAGATAATGCCAGGGTCAAACTCGGTATAATCACTGGTCAACAGAGATCTCAAATGTTCCGGACAAGAATCAAAAAGAGCAGTCTTCGAAATTCCCATCTTAGCTAGCGCGTCAGCCACCTTGTTGCCTTCTCTTTGAATATATCTTACTTCCACCTCCCAGTTATACCTCAGCATGGACACTATTCTTGTAAATACGAGACTGCTATGATCATTATGTTTTTGATGGTGTAAAAGGTCAACTAGACCCTTAGCATCTGATTTATTATATAACTTATTTGGATTAGACCGAATCAGACCGGATCACCTTGAGTTGGGCTGGATCATACCGCAGGGTTTTTGCGCACCCCTAGTTGTCTTCGACAAATCATCAGTCTCATCTCATCACTCCATCGATGGGCAGTTTGCTAATAAGCTGAGGCTGATGAATTGGCCGATTTACCCACCAAAACTGATAGTCTGGGCTGATGAAATTGGCCCATTTGATGAAACGGGCTTATCTGATCCATCACGATGGGTTAAACCGACCCCGACGGCGTCTTGCTGGTGGCTGCTGCAATTTCGCCGTCGACGCGTGAGTGTGAGTGGGTGGCCTCCGACCCTGGCTCCTGATTTCTGTCGTTCAATTTCAGGTGCTTCAATCTGCTCTGAAATTTGAATCTCTGATTTGTGAATTTGTGAGGTTGATAGTTAGCAATTTCATTGCGAATTTGCTTTGATAGGTAGCAATCTGAATCCACAGTCCTATATAGAAGTAGCTGCTCTGACTGAACTTCTCGTAAACCCTAACCTGAAATCTCAATCGTCCGCCATGGCTCTACTTCTCCAACTGAGAACCAGAACTAAGATGAATATCTTCACAAACCCTTCTCTCTTCCATTTCTTCTCTACCTCCAATTCCAACGACGATGAACCCGAGTCCACCGCCACCTCCAACGACGATACTGCTTCTACAAACCCTAACTCTCCCTTCTCTTCCTATTTCAGCGATGTCAAGAAGGTGCTCAAACAGGACCAATCCACTTCCTCCTTTTTCACGCCAAGAAATCCCTCAAATTCATCTTCCACTGCTTCAGCTTCCGCGGCTCCGACGTCATTCAAAGCTGCTTCTTTTGATGAAATTCGTAAGAACCTATCCCAGTTTCGGCGTCGTTACTCGGACCCAGATTCGACGCCTCCGTCTTCACCTTCATCGAATCAAATCTCGTTACAAGAGATATATAGGAGAAACATGGTTGAAAAAGCGCGTGAATCGACGCCAAATGCTGATATGAAGCCTGGGGGAATTGGAGGAAGACTGTCTTTTGATGCGATTCGTGACAGTGTGCGGAATAGAAAGCAGAATGTTGAGCCCAGAGAAAGAAAAGAGGGGGAAGTATCTTCGTTATCGGCATTTGCCCAGAGTTTAAGAAAGGAGCCTTCAGACTCCACCGGTTCTCGGACATCGTCAACGGTAATTGGTGGGACAGGTGCATTGCCGGCGTCAATTTTCGGCAAGGAGTTGAGGGAGAAAGAGAGGGGGGAGAGTTCCGATGAAATGATGACGGCGTTTGTGCAGATGTATAAGCATGAGGAGTTGGGAGAGAAATTGGGAAAATTGAGGCCGCAGGCAAAAGGAGGAGACTGGTTTTCTCTGAGAGAGTTGAATGATAGGTTGGTGAAATTGAGGGACATGGAAGAGAAGGAGAATAAGCAGTCAGCTATGAACGACCATACCTTTACCATGAAGGGATTGAGAGACTTCTTGAAGTCGGCACAGCTTCCTGACAACAAGGGGAGAAGCACACGTAAGTAATAGTTTATTCTAGTTGTTAATTTTATGTCAGTTGCCTCTTGTTCTTATTGTGATGCAGAGGGGTTCTAAGCATATTCATATAGCCTGGATTCAATGAAGAATTCTTCATCAGATTTCATCAAATTGTTGACCGAATGAATGCATAATAACCTGGCTCTATGTTCATGTAATACGTGACAGTTTTATTCGAAAGTGAACTAATGATATGAATTGTCCAGTGCAGAGACTTGATATCTTGGGTGAGCTGGGCCGGACTCCAAGCTTCATGCTGCACCCTCCTAAAGAGCATCTGGTTGAAAAGGTATTGTTTTTTTATTTGTTGGGCAAACTTCTGTGCTGCTGAGTTTTCGATCAGTAAAGTGAATAACAATCGTTACTCATGTGTATATGAACATAATTGTTGAGATGCTGTTGGTCTTTGACATGTGGTACTATATTATTATAGACTTGTGGCGAGATCTGGTGCCTTCTTGGTAAACTTTAGACTTTTCGATATTTACTGATGTTGTTCTTCTCTTTTTATGCAGTTCACATGTCCATAATTTGAAATCTAGGATCATAAATAGTTTTGATAGTTCGATGCCCTAATGTGGGTGCTTTATGTTTAATGCAGTATTTCCATCCAGATAATATGTCCTCAGCAGAAAAGTTGAAAATTGAGCTTGCCAGAGTTAGGGAAGAGTTTAAGATGTCCGAGTCAGATTGTGGATCATCTCGTGTTCAAGGTGAATGATGTGTCCTTTGTTAATTACTTTGCTGATTGAACTGGCTAAATAGGTCCTGGTTGAAGTCGAAGTGTCATTTTGAGTCCAACGGTTTGGCCCATGCATATTGGAATCGGTGTACATTCATTCGAGTAAAACTAATACTTTCCCCTTGATTCTTTCGCAGTTGCACAACTGACAACTAAGATTAAGCATCTATCATCAGTTCTACACAAGAAGGTGAGCCCTTTTCTTGTATATATAATGTCCTACGTTTTAATTTCTTCATGGGCATGAAGACATTCTGATGTTCAAGAACAGAAACAATAAATTAATGAAAACTGGCAACTGAGGTTATGCCGTGATGTTTGAGACTTTGAGCCTACAAATATCTTGCCCTGCAATGGTCTCTTCCTTTCGATTGGAATCTAATAGCCTTTGTTTAAAGTTTCATTAGGACATCAAGAGAGTTGCATATTCTGTTCATTCTCATCACTGATTTTGCGTCTACTGTCTAGCATGCGTCGAATTTCTTACAATATGGCATTTGAGTTTAATTCCTGATTCATTTCCTTGTATGACATTTTAGGATAAGCATTCTCGTAAAGGCTTGATAGCAATGGTTCAGAGAAGGAAAAGGTTACTAAAGTACCTCAGAAGAACCGACTGGGATTCCTACTGTTTTGTGATTTCCAAGCTAGGTCTACGTGATAATCCAGATACTAAGTACTGAAGAAATGCCACATCATTTTTGTTTAGGTCTGTATGAGAATGGGAATAATATTATTGTCAACCCCACAATCTATTTGATGATATTTGTGGGAGAGATGAATCATTGGTTGGCTTTTTGATCCTATAGGAAACTTGTGCTTAGTTGATTTTGTTTCCCCCCCTTTTTGGTCACATGTACACTTTTATCTCGCCATGTTGTGGGGCCCTTAGCTTTTTCATCACAAAGATGTTTGAGTTGTTAGCGTTAATGCACAATTTTGCATGACATTTAACGTATTCAATGGAATGTATTACCTGAGAAATGAAATATGGGGTTTTCATATGCAGCTATTTTGAATTAAGAGAGAATTAATCTCTATGTGGGGGGAAAATGTTGCATTAAGGGATGAGAATCTGTATGAGGATGGAAGTTTCATCATTGCCCGTAGCAGGCATTCTAGCTCAGGACTATGAACATTCGAAAATAGTGATGAGAGATTTGGTTATTGGGCATTTGGAGCGATGGGGATTTTCTAAATTTCATTCTCGGCATTTAAAAGAAAATTGAGCTCGAAAATCCCTACTAGACAATTAAGGCTCCTCTGTCCTAAAGCGTAGAGATACATAATCAATTTATAAAAATTTAAGAAGATAATTAATTGTAAATAAAAAAGTGCATTGATTTTTTAAAATATTCTTTTAATTATTTATACTGGAAGCTACTTTGATGGAAACATCATAGTAGCTGTAATTAATATGGGTAATTTAAAAAATAAATTAAATGTGAGTATTTTTTTAATGAGGACTTAAACTTTAATTCACTATATTATTTTGTGAGTGACTGATTTTTTTTTTTTGGCTGAGAACATGGGAGTAGTTGGGTCAACAGTGGCAAACAGATAGCGAGACTCAGTTGGGCCAACCTGAATATCCTGCCCAAATGAACAGCTTTGGTTTGGAAAAAAAAATGTATCCTAAATGAGAAAACTAGTTTTTGGGCCTGATCAATGGGTTAGGACTTAGGAAAAGATATTGCCCATTTTAATATAGGCTAGTCCGTATCTCCCCTCCCCAAAAAAAACAAAATTTGAATAACCTTATTACCATTCCCATATTGTCGCCAAAGAGTAAGAACGAAGAAATTGCAAGTATCGACTTGGTTATGGGATATATAATTCATTTGATCTCTAATTTAACTTTTAATATTGATGTGATTTCAAGTGTAGTAAGTAAATGGCTAAAACTGAGGATAGAAAAGCAGACAGCTTGCAAAAAACTGCCTTGAGAGTATACTAGTTTCAGTGAATATTGAAATTTTAAAACCGACCATACTAATGAAGAATTGATAGAATTCTAAAAAAGAAATTCATTTTTGAGTTTGAATTAATTAAAAATAAATTCTGGTAATAGATCTATGGATTCTAATTTATTATGTCGATATGTTACCAACTTAAATCTATAGATTTAAGGGGAAATTAAACGTTTAACACTTATATTTTTAACTAGTTTTGGAATGGGTCCCAGTAAATTTTTCCTTAGAGACAAGACGACTCCAATAGTTTGATAGTTAGTTTCATTAATCCTCACCTCAAACGTTTTGTTTTCTTATAACAATTCAATTCAATTTTTTTTAAAGAAATATGCTCATATACTACTCTAAAAATGAATTTTTATATAAGTTAAAATTGATTTTACCCCGGCTGTGAAACTAGTATAAAATTATAATATGGTATTCCTTTATATTATATTTAAAAATGCTTTATTTTCAATATAATTTTTACAGGACGAAGAACTTGGCTGCCAAGGGGGGAAAAAAAAAATCAAAGGTCAGGATATAATTTTCTTGATAGCCAAGTAAATCCATTAGTGAGTTGATGACCCAGAAAAAAAGGTAGGGGGGCACTTGGTGGCCAAGTTAAAAATTGTCTGGCTTCAGGTCGTTGACGAAACAATCGAAGTCAAAGGAATGATATTTAATCACGAGACGATCGTTTCAACTTTCACCATATCAAGGCATCGCATATTTATTTTTCTGTCTAAATCAAATGTTATTTTGGTCAGAACAAGAGGACATGATTCTGAAATTGAATTGAAATATTATACTAAAAAAACGATACTATTTTCATTTACATCTCACTGAATAATTAATTCTTGTTTAAATTTTAAGATTTAATTCCATTATCTTACAATCATAAATATTTTAATATATTTATTAAAATTACAAAATATTTTAGTGCCATAACCCTTGTTTTAAAATCAAAATTTTATTAAGTATAACTGTATAACCCTTGTTTAACAAAATATTAATATCAATATTAACAATCGTCATTATTAGTGTAAATATAATGTTTTTTTGAGCACCACAAGTTGTGAATATTACAACCTAATCTTAAATCTGCACATATATGTAAAAATACATTTTGTTTTCAATAAAAATAGCTATCACAAGCCTGTTTTCTAGGCTCGGTTTGCTACGAGAAAAATGGAGAGGGGAGGAAAGAATTTTTTTTAATAAACTCAATTTAAACAAATTAAAAAATGGGGTTTTAAAATTTTAATAAAAAAAGTTGTAAGATAAAATAGTAATAAAAATTAATTAAAAGTTTTTAACCCAATTTTTTTCAATTTTTTATATCTAACATATTAAAAATTTTCCCCTCATTCCCTTCCCTTAATTTTCCTCATACCATTATAGAGTTAATGTTTTTTTAAGGTAAACTTCATATGTCTTTTATTTTAAAATACAAAGGACGCAATTGAAACATGCAAGAAAAGGGACTAACTACAGTACATAGATGTAAGCCATTATAATATATAAATATATAAATTAGCTAAAAAGAAAGCCTTTACGCCTTATATGTAAGCGGTAAATAAAATTATAATGTTATGAAAAAAGGGATAAAATGCAAATGATGCCATAAAATTTTTTTTTTTTGCATGTGAAAATACAAATGAATTTTCAAAATAATACAAAAATAACATGCTCATTAAGTCAACCAACATTGGTAGAGTGTCATTAGTGGTTAATGTAAACTCTTTCAATACTCTAAATTTCCTGTAACCCTTGATCCAGCTAAGCTTCATCTTCATATGCCATTTCGACTGAGGAATGTCCTACTGCTGGTATTGCCTTATGTGCCACGGCGCAACAGCCCATTTTGGTGAATCTGGCGTTGGTCTCAAGCAACTAAAGTAAAAAGTTCAGTGTATTTTGGTGAATTTCTAATTCTAATACAGTTGACTTTTGAGTGCTGTTAATTAACGCAAGAACCAATTCAAAGGCACAGAATGGACACAAAAAAAAAAAAAAGGATTTATGCGTGTGTTTGTGTGTGGGTGTGTATATGTATATATGTATCAGTATATGTGTGCATTTTTTGAAAGGAAAAAAACCCTAAACGGCTAGCCTCAGGTTGGGAGTCAAAAACAGCAGTCCCAAATCCACATGGTGGCTGTGCTATGTGCTATGCGATACTAATCCGCTTCCGCCGTTACGCTTCTTCGTCTTCTGCATTTTCCCCTTCCCGGCTTCGTAAAGTTCTCTCTTTTGCCTCCTTCTCCTCCGCATCGCAGTCCACATTTCAAGCATCAGCAGCCATGGTGGCTCATGCGAAAGACGAAGCCTATCTCAACACCACCATCCCCAAGCGTATCAAACTCTTCGAGGCCATCAAAGCTCAGCAACTCGCTCATCGCCAATCCCTCCCAGCCGATCCCATCAAGTAAATTATTCTACATGTATCTTATTGCCAACTTCTTATTTTGTTACTGGGTGATGTGTTTTCATTTTTTTTTTTTCAATTTGAATAAAAAGGATAACTCTGCCGGACAAGAATGTCAAGGAAGGGAAGAAGTGGGTGACCTCACCCATGGATATTGCCAGAGAAATTTCCAAGAATTTGGCTGCAAATGCTTTGATTGCCAAAGTGAATGGGGTCCTATGGGATATGACAAGGCCCTTGGAAGGTGATTGTGAGCTTCAGATTTTCAAGTTTGAAGACGATGAAGGACGTGACACTTTTTGGCATTCCAGTGCTCACATTTTGGGGCAGGTGCTGTCCTTGAGGCTTGGCTCCTATGAAAATTCAATATTTGGCTCGAAATGGACTGACATTTCCTCGTTATAGCGCAGGCCCTTGAGAAGGAGTATGGATGTAGGCTCTGCATTGGGCCCTGCACCACTAGAGGAGAGGTGTGTTGTAAACCTACTGTTATACCCATGCTATCCTCATTAACTTTTTTAATTTGTTTTTGGGCCTTAATTGTTTTGTGTTTATGTTATGAATGTTAGTACTCAAACTCGAATATAATATTAAACTTTTATTCGTTGATACATATCAGAATAAAATTTCTGTGAACAATGTAATTATCTGAGCGTGCCACTGACCCTTGAATTACAACATTTAGTACTGCCGGTTTTGAGTTTCAGGCTTGGAAAATGTGGAATGGTATACATGAGTTATAATGAGTTCACTAAAATCATTGCAAGTTTACAATGGTACTGAATTTTCAGTTGCATTGCAGTTATGTAGTGGGATCCGTTGCTGGGAAGACTACAATTTATGCATCTGCTTTTATAGCAACATAATAAATGACTTTAAATAATGTTTGATTGTGTGCTATTAATTAACCTCATATATGAGCACAATTCCAAAGAATCACTAATGATTTATTAATGTGATTGTTGTGGGTGTTTGAGATGCTGGTGCAAGGTTTTCGCTATACTTATTTGAATATTTGAATGTTGTTTCAAAGATTTTTTTTTTTTTTTTTGAGCTGAGTTGTTTTACAGAAGTCAGCAATCAACTTTGGATTAACTCCTTTATGTAGAAAGCAAAGAGAAAAACAAAAGATTGATACTTAAATCAAGTACCTGGAGCATTTCCTTTTTAAATTGTCCATTTAAACAAATGCAAGTTCGCATACAATTTCTTTTGCTCAATTTGATGTTAGTTCTTCAATTCAAAAGAGGAAAAAAATAATGCTGGTACCATGCATCATATAGAGATATTCAGAGCTGAAAAGATATGCTTGTTTTCCTTCTCATCTTTGCATGTATTATCATTTTGTAAAATTGAGTGGTGGTTATAATGACATGGTAAAAGTTCCTTGCAGGGATTCTATTATGATGCGTTTTATGGTGAATTGAGTTTGAATGATGATCACTTTAAGCAGATAGAGTCTGAAGCTTCGAAGGCTGTTAAGGTATTTCTATTTATTCACATATCCTTGTATGCTGTTCATTATTAGTATTGGCCTTACTCTGTTGTGGTCACTAACACTTAAAAGGTTTTCTATTCATGTTAGTTTCTCCCGGTTCAATTGATTTTGGGAAAAATGACAGAAAAATACCTGTTGCATTTCAAAATGACAAATAGGTGATTTTGATAAATTTTAACATGTCAAAACTATTACAAGAATAGTCAAAACCATTATAAGAATAGTTAGCATTACCTATTTGTCTTTTTGAAATTCAACGGGTATTTTTTTTTGGTCATTTTCCCTTGATTTTATTATAGAGGTGCAAGGGCTGAACTAGCTCGTGGCAGAGTAAAAAATGATCTTTGAGAATGTAAAAAATTTGCTTATTTTTCTTTAACAGAAATTCTTATTCTTGCAAAGAGAGATATTATTGCTGATGGTATTTTCATTTCTTAGTTTTCTTGAATTTCTTATTTGTATAAGAAAAGTTCTTGATTGTCCTTGTGGTTGGATGTTGAAAGAGAAGAATGGGTTGATAAGACTAGATGCATCAAATGTCCAACTGGTGTCTGATTGTGGTATATAAAAGTCATCAGTCACAACAATGGGTTGGACATTTGTTAATGGGAAACTAAGATTGAATGCAATCCATTTCAACTTTGTGAGTTGTTTGTTAAATTGGTCATTAATTTCTTATTTGCTCAACATCTGGTGTTCACAGATCTTCTGAAACTGTAGTTTATTACTACATGATTGCTAGTTTTGATTTCGTGTATGAAATTGTTCATAGGTTATCATTATCATTGCTTTCTGTAATATATGATCAGTGGTAGTTCTTATTTTCAGGAGCAACAGCCATTTGAACGTATTGAAGTATCAAAGGATCAAGCACTTGAAATGTTTTCTGATAATAAGTTTAAGGCAAGTATAGCTACTTGATGACATCACCACCCCATTTACCTTTTGTTGTATGATCTTGTGCATCTGGACCATATTTCCTAGTTTCTTTCTTTGGTAATTAATGAGGCTGCAATTATTTTATCATGATCAGGTTGAGATCATCAATGATTTGCCTGCAGACAAAACCATCACAGTATACAGATGTGGTCCCTTGGTTGATCTTTGTCGTGGGCCCCATATACCTAACACATCCTTTGTGAAAGCACTTGCTTGTCTAAAGGTATATATTTTTTGGAGCTGTCAGATGAAACTGCTTCCATGCAACTTACATTATAAGTGAATATTATGTTACTGCAATTCCAGGCTTCCTCAGCATATTGGAGGGGGGACAAAGACCGTGAAAGTTTACAGAGAGTTTATGGGATATCTTATCCTGATCAGAAGAGTTTGAAGGTATTTTTGTTTTCTTTTATAATAATGTGAGGGTACTCTTTGTTGGTATCCAGCTTTGGAAGTTGAGTTGTGATGGACCAAACCATCTGTAACAATGCCTTCTACCACCCAGGCTAAAACTATTGTAAATAATCTATTCCATCATCTGAATAAAGAGAAATTTCCTGAAGCAATTTCATGACTGATGCATTGAAGAAAGTAGGAGTGTGCTCATGAAATATGATGTATATTGATCTCTGTCTTTTGTTTTATCATTTAAAATATCGTTCCTGTTCAGGAATACATCAACCGGCTGGAGGAAGCTAAAAAGTATGACCACAGACTGTTGGGAGTAAAACAGGAACTAATTCTTCATCATGAGTGGAGGTATAATAGGTTCATCATGTAATTTCAACTTCAATTAAGCTTCTCTTCCTGATGCCTTTTTACCCATTTTTGCCAATATCAGCCCAGGCAGTTGGTTTTTTCTTCCCCATGGCACACGGATTTACAACAAACTGATGGAATTCATTCGAAATCAATATAGGGAAAGAGGTTACCAAGAGGTTGTGTTTTATGTTACTAGTTGTTTGCTGTGACAACAAATGATCTTCAAAAAAGATTTCTTAGTTTCTTGATTCATCAGGTTATATCTCCTAATGTATATAATATGGAGCTGTGGGAGCAATCTGGACATGCTGCAAACTACAAGGAGAATATGTTTGTCTTTGAGGTAAGCCTTCATGCCATACACACAGCCAGACATGCATGCAATGGTGGGAGAAAAAGGAATATAATGAAAGAAGAATTCATAATTAGAAAGAGATTTAAGAAACTGAGCTCATCAACCTTTATAACTTCTTCAGTGTTCTGCTACATGGCTATAAAAGAGGGTGTGTGTTGGGCCTTTGATTAACTAACAAACTCTTCTTACTGTTCTTTTCTTAATAATAATAAAATTCAAGAACTTTTTATGCATCTTTAATAAGCTGCACACTAACACGCCTTTCTTTGTGGGTAAGCTAGCGATTGTCATCTTACCATGTCATATTTATCTGGTATGTTTTAGATTGAAAAGCAGGAGTTTGGGTTGAAACCAATGAATTGCCCAGGTCATTGCCTGATGTTTAAGCACAGAGTTCGCTCATATAGAGGTAATACCTACTCACATCAACGGTCATGGCTTGAAAAATGAATCTTTTTTTGTTCTCACTTAGTTGGCTGGGCTAGTCTAGGTTTAGCACCGAATCAAAGAAGGTACAGATGATTGAGCCCTGACCTGAGAAAAGTGGTTATAGTTAAGATGGACATCATACTAGGTCGTTTAGATTTTAAGTTATGTTTTAAGTGGGAATAATGATGATTTCAGCTGATTTGATGAATTCGTTTTATTTGAATGAAATACGCAACTCCTGACTTCCTTAATTTAGATTTTTAGGAGATGTGATACCGTATGAGAAGAATTTCATGTTTATGATGTTGATAACGTAACTGTAATCAGGATCCCTTCTTGAGATTGCTTATGTTTATATGCCAGCTATCATCCATAGGAGTTGCATCTTATTATGATCTATTGAAATCTTTGTTGTTAGTTTATTTCCCTGTTCCCATGAGTTTAACATTATCAAATGACATAGAATTAGTTTATAGTTGGATTGCTGTCGCATGATATCGCATATGGGATGTTAGAAATCTAAATCTTTTTTATGATTTTGCAGAACTTCCTCTTCGACTGGCTGATTTTGGGGTTTTACATCGTAATGAGGCCAGTGGTGCCCTGAGTGGATTGACTCGTGTTAGGAGATTTCAGCAGGTATTTTTTTTTTTTTTTTGGGTACAAAACGGAAAGAAGTTCAGCGGTTATAGCTTCTCACACTGAACAGATATGAAACCTTTTCAATTTGATAGGCATACTCACACAGATATAAAATGCCTTAAGAGAATTTGAAAGTACTTGGCTGAGTTTAAAGTTGTAAATTTCTCCAGTAAAGCAGTAAGTGGGTCCTGGAGTTGGTAGGTTTTAGTTAAAGCATGTTAGAGATTCTAGGGTCATGGTGCTGAAGTTTTCATTTAAATTTAGTATAGTTGATGATGCGTTGATAAGTGAAGTGCCTGGGATATTTTGGCCCAAAAAGTTACCTAGGGTAATACTCGTTGTAAACCATGATAGGGGAATTAATTATTACCATATTATTTGTTTGTAGCCAGTAGGTTTTTGTTCTTGTAACTATGGGACAATTGCTCCTGGAGTCCTATAGCAAGCCTGTTTCCATATCTTTCAACTCTTGCATTTTGAATCCTGGCAACAACACTATAATAACATAGTTTACTTGAAATATTTTACAGGATGATGCCCATATCTTCTGCAGGGAGTCACAGGTCAGTTCAAATTTAAAAGTTAGACTGCAAAATTTTTTAAAGTTTGTTGTGATTGTGAGTTAAAATTTGAATTGTTAATACGACCCATTTCACAGGTAAAGGAGGAAGTGAGAGGCGCCTTGGATTTTATCAACTATGCCTATAACGTATTTGGTTTCACCTATGATCTGAAGCTTTCCACGGTATGCTGTTACTTCTGACTGTTCATAATCTTCCTATCCACCTATTTTAATGTTAGTAATACCACCGTAGCAGTGCTTAGCTGAACCTGGGGCCCTTAATAATCTTTTATTTTGATTTGCAACATTGCCACCTGGTTGTCAAGAAATCTCTATTCTGATACAACTGCATGGCTTATGTTTTGGGATTTCATTTTGATTATATAGTTGGCCAAGAAAGAGATTGTGGAAGCTTGATAATCATGCTCCTTTCTCTTTTTGTTTCTCATTTATGTGAAATATATGCATCCACTCATGCATCCTCGGAGTATTTTCTTTTTGCAAATAGCTCTCATGTTTCCTCTATCTTGAAATCCTACCCACCACTACTTGAAATGAAAAGATGCACTGCGTTGACTTCCATAGGATTAAAGAAGCAAAAATTACATATATTTTGACCAAAATACCTTAATGTCTATTAACTATTAATTACACATGACAAATGTTAAATGTCATTTGACCAATAAATTTAAAAAATTGAATTATGGTTTTCTATACAAAATAAAGAACACTTGAATTAAAAGTTTTAAAAGAATATTAACATTTTTTAAAATAAGAAATCAATATCTTCTTGAGGGCTAGTTGGTCTTATTTTAGCTTGGGGGTTGTTTATGTCTTTATAACTGACGGTAATGTAGATATCACTCAGTAGAGGGGAGAATAATTGAGTCTTTTTTAAAGTAAATAAAAAATAATATGATTGTTTCATGCTTCACTTGCGTCAATTTTATGGTATTTTTACTTCTGTCTTTTTGTAAATTGGTGGTCCCTTTTTTCTTCTTTTAGATTGTCTTGTAAAATTAATAAGTCTTGTCTGTTTTCTAATTATCAATATTAAAATGTTATTTATTTGTGATGCTTAATAGCAATCAAAGACCTGTTTTCCTTTACAAAATTTATACGTTCACATTCTGAAACTCTTAGATTTAACAGGAAATATTCTACTTAAGCAGTCATCACACTTCTTAATTTGACTCCCTATTTAGACTTCTTTTGATATTTGCCATTCATAACGTGGCTTGTGTGAAATTAAATTGTAGTTTTGCTTCTTTTCTATAGCAACTATTTTGGAATCCTGTATAGCCCTATGATTGTGTGCTTGGTAACTTGCTTAGTGAAGCGGATGCTAAAGGTGGAGTTTATGTAGTACGAAAAGAATCCCACTACTGTTGTGTTTGTCTTATGTTTTTATTAAATATCAATTCATGCCTATATTTGATGGAATGATTCGCAAGAGAACTATTGCACAGTTCAGACAAAAATGAGATGGATTCTGCCTTCCATGAAAGTTTCCTTTCATCCTTTTCATATTCTATTAAATGGTTTCCTCATTGAAATAGTGTCATTGTCTTATCAATTGCAAGAAATTCAATTTTCTTCTTGTGGTTCTGACCTATGTTCATTGCTCTCTGGCTTGATTTTACAACCGTCCTGTATGTGTTGAATATCTGAGTAGAGGCCAGAGAAATACCTTGGAGATTTATCAACATGGGAGAAGGCTGAAACCGCGCTTAAGGAAGCTTTAGATGAGTTTGGGAAGCCTTGGCAGGTAATTATATACCCTTGTACTCTCTTAGAACTCCTCCAACGTGGTTTTTCTGGATGGTTCCTTAGAAGTCGTTTAGGATCCGTTTAATTACTGGGATGGAATAAGAATCCCTTTTGATTCTTTTTGTCCATATTTTTTATGTCATTGTATCATTACTTAATAATTCTCTTTTTTCAATAAAAGTAGGAGCATGAAAGCATTTTCAGAATTGAACAAAATTGATTGGACCGAACCAAATTGAGAGAAACCAAACAAAACTACAAGTGGGTCAAGTTTGGTTTTCATGATGTCAAAACTAATTGATTTTCTTCAATTTGTTTTTTGGTTTGGTTTGACGTGGTTTGATTTGATCTGAACCAAATCATCCAAAGAAATGATTCCCAAAAGTATTGTTTTTTCCCCATACGGTAAAGATATTCTTTAACATGAAATTAATAATATATTAAGTTTAAATTATCTCTAGAGTTGGAAGCAAATATATTAAAACCTAGTATAATTTTTTATTTTGATACACTGGAAAAGCTAAAATCTAGTTGGTATAATTTTCTGACAAATTTAACTCAATACTTTTTTCTCCTAAAAAATCATTACATCTGAAATTTTTTTAATTAATTTATATGTCACGAGGACAAAACTTATTGCTTTTTAAACTTAAACCCTTTTTATGATAAATTGTAAATGTGCGTCTGAATCTAATTTATTATTTATTAATATTTACAGCTTTTTCTTCCCACAAAAAAGAAAAAAATCTCACTTCAGCATGATCCAAGTGAAAATGACTCTGGACCCAACCAGATTATATTTACTTTGAATCAAATAGGTCTACAGTTTTGCCTTACTATTTGGTATGCTCTGGTTTGGTTTCTGCTTAATATTGAACCAAAACAAAGCTTTGAAAACCCTTGAGAGCACTGATCAACTTCCCCGTTCAAAATAACTATTGTCTATTTCATTCTATTTTTGTGCATCAAGCAGGCTCTTATCCTTCATGCGTTAATAAATAAGTTGTGAAAAGCATAGAAACTAAGGACCAATTAAATGGAAAATAATAGGTTGGAAACATTAGCCAATTAGAACATGCCACACATCCATCTGCATGTCTTGATTTGTGGTTTCTGTTAAATATCCGTTTTCTTAATTATGAAATTAATTAATAATTAGATTTTTAGAGAACGAATATGTTAATTTGATTTTCTTAACATATTTGACTTTGGAAAGTACTTTTTGTTTGGCCAATAGAACCAGTTGTCCTTATTTGTTCATATTTTGTACGTGTACTGTGCCATCTCTTGACTTTCTTTAGTTAATTCTCTCTCTGTTATGAGGAGTTGTGATCAATCTAAAAGACGCTCTTGTTCTGAGTGGAAATTTCCCAAAGTTTTAATGAATTTTACCCTGAAATAAAAATCTGGATGGAAAACGGAACTAGCTTAGACCTGCAAACCTGCTTGCCAGAAGTAGCATACATGATTCTTTAACTGGCTGCTTAAAGCTGTGGCAAGAAGGGCTCATGAGTCATGATTAGCTGAACAAATCAACAAATTGTACTGCTGTTCTTCCCGTGCTGGTTCATCTATTGTGTGCTTGTTTTATTGTTCTAGTGTTAATGTTAATTCGATGGGTATCTCACAGATAGATGAAGGGGATGGTGCATTCTACGGACCAAAGATAGATATCAGTGTATCTGACGCTCTGAACAGGAAATTTCAGTGTGCAACTTTGCAGGTTCACTTTATTTGATTTAGCTTATATTGACTCAGGTTGCATAACTTATTGGTTGACGACTAAATGAATTGTGGTTGCTTGCAGCTTGACTTCCAGCTTCCTGATCGTTTTAAGTTGGAATACTCAGCTGAGGATGAAGCCAAAATTGAAAGACCTGTAATGATACACAGAGCCATTCTAGGATCTGTTGAGCGCATGTTTGCTATATTATTGGAGCATTACAAGGGTAAATGGCCCTTCTGGCTCAGTCCTCGGCAAGCGATTCTATGCCCTGTGTCCGAGAAATCACAGTCTTACGCAATTGAGGTACTTAACTGTGTAAATATTTGGCTTTGCTCGTTGTGAGATGAGTTTTTCTGTTGATACAATTAGGATCTCTTGATTAACATTTTCTGCTGCAATATTCTAGGTGCGAGATAAGATTCATCGAGCAGGTTATTATGTTGATGCGGATACAACTGATAGGAAGATTCAGAAGAAGGTACATATAGATAAAAAGCCTTCAGAAAAAAAATTTGATCACGCGCCTTCCATGTACTTGAAAGTCATTATGATGTAGGCTACGTTCCACTAGAACTTGGTCTGCTAAACCAAACCCCCTTCCCCCACTCTTTTTCTTTTAGGTTTTGTTTGGAAGCTTACATGTCCTATATCATCTGGCCATGCTATCGTTTCTTTCTAAATGGCATTTTTTTATTATTTATTGTTTTTAATCATTTAGTTAAAACATTCGAAACTTGAGTTTGACAGGAGAGTTCTTTCCTGGTGCAGGTGCGTGAAGCTCAGTTAGCACAATACAACTACATACTGGTGGTTGGAGAGGAGGAAGCTAAGACCGGACAGGTTTTTACTATTTCTCATGCTATCCATTGGATTTATCCTTGATAAATATTGAGTATGCAAGCTATATTCTTTCAGCGTCCTATAACATACTTGACACATGTTTGACTTGTAGTTTCAATAGAATGCTTTTGGCCATCTTTCATAAAAAAGAAAAATGTTTTTGGCACTATCAATTTTTGGCACTAAGGATTTCCTTATGGTAAACTAAAAATTTGAGGGGCATCCTTATCCTATTTGATTGTTTCTATCAATTTTCTTCCTTTTTTTTTTTAAACCATCCTGAATAACAAAAAATGGGGCTCATTTTCACTAATTTCGATCGTAATTTATTGTGCAAGACTCTTTTCTTCAAGCTTAATCATGTCACTTACTCCTTAGGCAATCAGGAAGCTAAACATTGACTTGTTTTCCAGGTAAGTGTACGGGTTAGAGATAACTCAGACCACAAGGTTATGAGTATTGAGAGCCTACTCAAACTCTCGGTGATGAAGTTGCAGCTTTCCATTGAGCATTTCCTCTGAAAACTGTTAAAGCACGCTCTATCTGTCATTTCATTCTTTCATATACTCTAGTGTACATTATTTATAAACCCAACCAATCTCAATTTAGCCTGTTTGTGTGGCAAAAAAAAAAAAAAAAAAGAACAATTTAGCCTGTTTGATTTTCAGATCTCATGTGGATATAGATCAATGATTTAACCTTCTTTTGTGCCCATATCACAATGCAAAGGCGTCTTAAGTAATACTTTTTTTTTTTTTGGGGCTACCTTTGAATTTCCTTGAGATGTGTTACATGCGTATATGGGAAGACTTGTTTTTGCTGTTGTGGGTTCTTGAAAACAAATTTCCCAGAGGAAATCAGAAATCTTATCATTTTCCCCTCATCTAAGCTTTTGTACCTTGTACCAGACGACATACTCTCCTTTAGCCGCAGGTGATGGGGTTTTGAAGATCTTTCTTAAAAGATCCTTTAAACTCTTTCACCGTCCAAGCGGACCCCAAAACCCTGACAAAGCTGACCATAATCATGAAATGCTCACACGAAATTCAAAATTAGGTGTCTCGTTTGTTGAATTGGAGACAGCTAAAGGTTAGCATTTTTGTATATCTGTTACAAAGAATCTCTATCAACTTTTTTTTTTTTTGTAAATCATAAATTTATTCTCTTTTCAACATGTATAAGCTGTGTAGTCATATGCGTATTTTTGCGTATGCATAAGTTGTGTCGGTTTTTAAGCCCAAAAAAAAGTCGTGCAGGTTTTCAAAATGAAGACCTTATTTAATTCAGTAAAAAGAATTTAAAAAAGAAAAACATTATAGACTAAAGTTGGATAAATAACGTCTTATTTTATTAAGCGAGATTGGTTACATAATTACTTCATTGGGTGTCTGTCTTGGTTTTTGTCCCCAGACTACTTGATTAAAGACTATTGAGATGTTTTATCATGTTCTTTTAAACAGGTTTCATGCGAACTTTTTCTTGTAAATAATTCTTAAGAATCTTGTACTCCTAATTGGACACCCTTGTATCTGCTCAAGTTTTTGTTCATATTGTCTCTTCAATACCTAACATTCATTACGTGCAACATCGTCTGTTTTAGAGTACTTTCCTTCGTGCTCAATCATAGGCTTTTTTTTTATTATTAGGAAAAATGACAAAAAAACCTGTTGAATTTCAAAATGACAAATGGATAATTTTAACGTTATAAGAATAGTCAATACATCTACAAAAATAGCTGTCATCACTTATTTATTTATTTATCATTTTTCAACACATATTTTATAGTCATTTTTCCTTTTTCTTAACCCCTAAAAATGGTTTCACTTCCTTGATCTTTCTTTTCCCAGGTTGTAAGTGTGGTTGAGCCCCTGGTTTTTGTGTGTGTGTGTTTTCTTTTAAAATGCTGCTGTTTATTTTGTTGGTAGACATTGGGTTTCTTGGTACTTCATTTGTGTTGTGGTTGTAAGGAAATCCGTTGTGTATCATTTTACTTGTGCTTTGATATTACAACGTGGTGAACCAAGATTTGAATTCCTACTAGAAGAGGTGTCCACATTTAGTGCTCGACGGTGCCTCGAAAGGATTACCTCCAATAAAAAGATACCTATACTTTAGCAAAAAAAAAATGCGTCTTCCACCTTACCCCAAAAAAAAAAAGTGTCTTCTTAGAAAAGAAATGCTAACATCTTCTGTACCATCCTTGCCACAAATGTAAATTGAATAATTTTTTACAAATAAGTTATATAATTTCACCTAAATTGTAAAATATACATTCATATTTTTTTAATCATGTCTCTGCTTAACTTGAGCAGGTTTGATGAAGATGTCAATTAAAGTCTCCTCCTTAGCTACTAACTTCGGACTGCCATTTTCATCCACTTTCTTTTCACTACCCATTTTTACCATTAGATTAAAATTTGAACAGTTGACATTTAGTGTTTTTTTAGATTACTAATAAAATGTCAAATTATTAAAAAAAATGAATAAATGCATTCAAAACTGATGTTAAAGAAGCCAAGTCCTACTACTTCCACTTACCATGCGTTAGGAAAACGATGTTAAACCTCATATTTTATCAATAAGCATCTTTACATTAAAAACGTTTATTCAGATTGTTAATGAATGAACTAAATTCAATTTTAATCATCAAATAGTTTAATATGTTTACCATCCATGTCGAAAATATTAAACAATAACTCATATTTGATCTATTACATAAAAAGTACTAGTTGAATATCAATTTCTTAATTATTATTTATTCAAGTGAACCCATATCGATAAGTTATTATGAATAGTTTGATTACTGCATTTTATGAAATAATTAATATGATACAAAGATATACGAAAAGACTATTCCCATTAAACCTAAAGTTATATATGAGCCAATTTATACCTAATCTATTTTTCACTTCCAGAACAGTTTTTGTACAATATATTAGTGATAACCTATATATCATCCATGAACCTGATGGATGAACAATTTGAGATTTTCCTTTTCCAGCCATTGAATATTGGAGTCATCTTCTCAACAAGGATTTGCCACTATAGTCCAATAATGCACGTAGCAAGAGTGACATAGACCTCTCTCTCTCTCTCTCTCTCTCTCTCTCTCTCTCTCTCTGGGCAATTGAATGAATCCAAACAATATGAATTATCTCCTTTCACCTCACCCAAGGCAATGGTCTTATTACATGGTTTTTTCCCCCATCTTTTACACTCACCATGTTATATACGCTTCATTAATTCAAGATCGAGTATTGTGAGCACACACTGAAACTGTGTTTTAGACCATACGTGCATTTCATTTCAATATAATATGGTTAAACGTATATATCATTATCTCTCACACTTCCATGAATAGGCCTGTGCAGCTCCAAATTCTCATGCATGCAATAAAATGGAAGTTCCTTGCCATATTGAAGCTTTAAAAGAAAAACTAGCCCTTATGATAATATATATAAAGCTGAACCTAACAAACTCGCTACAACTGTTAGGACTTATAGGACTGATCATCTTCATTCGTCCCACCTGATAACTAGTCTAAAACATATGCATGATGATGATGCTAATTAATTAATGCCCTCTGGGTTTTATTATCTTACTATTATTATTGTTATAATTTTACTCATCAAAACCCATGATGATTGGCTCCATTACTCGTCAAGTTCTGATCTTGGAAATGCTGCTGATGATGACTGTAGCCTTCTGGTATGGAACTGCTGCTCTCACCCACATCAAGCTCTGGCCTATATACCTCCTGATCATCAATCTCTTCTTTTGCTGCTTTTTGCATTCCCATGAACTCTAATGGCCTTTGGTGGTGGTGGTGATGGGATGCCACAAGATGATGATGATGATGATCTGGTTGTGTTGTTGTTGTTTCTGGTGGTACCACAGAAGGAAGCTTAGAGAGAAGTGCCTCAAGGCTGCTCATTGATGGAGTGATTTTCAGAGGCTGCTGGTTGAAGTGGTCATATAGCTCAGGTGGTGGGGGTGCGAAAGTACTGCCTTGGAAATATTGCCATTGTTCTGCCATTGATCCATACCCTTCCACCTTGTAAGGGTATCCAGAAGATGATGGGTGTGGTAACAGCACGCCTGGGATGCTCTCAATGTAGCTGAACTTTTTCCTCAGAAGTACCACGTAGCTCAAGTCTTCAATCACCTGCAGTGCCAGACAATACAAAATGGACTTGACATGATGCTTGAGTACTACTATACAGTACTTTAGTGTGTTTGTGTGTGTAAGGAAGTTAATGAGTCTCAAGAGATAGTCCTTTTGTGGGTATGTGTGTGTGTGTGTGAGAAAATAAGAAAGTGAGAATCCCAAGAGATATAGAGTAGTGTGTGTTTATTACCTTGTGAACGGCTCCCAGTTGAACAACACCTTCTCTTACGGCGATGAGGGCTATGGTCTGCAAGACATGATTTGATTGAATCTGAATCAATATATTAATGAAAGGAGATTTTTTTTAGCTAAAAGCTAAAGGAGATTTATGTGTGTGAATATCATGAGGCTATACCTTTATACCAGACTGGAACTGGGCTTCCCATGTCCTTGGGTGCTGTAAAAAGAACATATATAATGAGGATGCCAGACCTTTTTTTGTTTTATTTTGTCTGTGTGGAAGCAAGTTTAAGAGCGAAATCATGCATTATATATTGGAAACACGGATTTAAGCTCGCAAGAAGGAAATTAAACATGAAATCACAAGCTTATGAGAGATAATGAGCAAGCAAATCTACACTTAATATCAGTAGTATTAATAAATCATGAGCAAGGGATGGGGTTTTTAACCGAGTCTGCGGAATTATGCCACGCTGACAAGAAGTTGATTTCTTGATCATTTGGTTCTTTGTATATCCATTTATGACTGTGATCTGCAGCAACTTTTCCTATCAACCTGAACCATATATGGGCTTAATTAACCTCTCTTTCGCTTCAAAATCTCATAAATTAGAGTTAAATATAGTGAAGCTGTTCTAGATATCATATGTTCAGGCGACTAATCTACTGATAATGGGTGATATACGTACCCTTCTCCGTAGTTATAGATCTCATGCGACATCTTGAAGAAAAGCTCCGGTTGCAGTCCTTGGTAGTGCTGGAATTCACAGTTGCCGTATACCGACGAACCAGGGCATTCGCCGGAGGTGATTTCAGGTGCTGATGATGATGCAGCAAAGTTGCAGAAACCATCTTCCCACACCAAAATCCTGCATTATTGGTGTGTTCAAAGTGTAAGCTTGACCAATGCAATCATATATGCTTGACAAAAGTAGACAACTTATCACAACGACGAAGCTGACAGAGAAAGCTATACCAGTTCCTTCTGTTTCCTCTTGATCTATCATAAGCCCCTTGACCTTCCCACCTATCAAGAAGTAATATTAAGAACCGAACATCATAATACATATGCAAACTATCTAAAGTATACGGAAAATGTATTAATAAACATGTGAATAGGCCACGACAATGTTTGATTTGTGTGGCTGAAGTGAAAAGAAACTGTTTCTGTGCGATCTTTTTTTCTGAAGAATTGATTCAATGATATCGTCTCTCCTTACTTGGGTGGTGGGTAGTTTCTGGGCAAGATCCTCCAGAAGACTGCATAAACCCACTGGGAATTTTCATGAATGCACAAGCTTCTGAGAGTGTGTTGAAGGAGATGGGTAACAGCAAGCGGACTAAGATGTTCTTCCATCAAAACCCTCACAATAAATCAATTATAGGGACTGATGTGTCTGATCTCTTTCTCTCACTTTCACCCTTAATTACCTATAGCTATCTTTAATAGTGGGAAAACTGCAACATCCTATCCTCCTTTATATATAAGCCCACCAACAAAGGACAAGGAAACTCACATTTATACCTCTCTCTCTCTCTCTCTCACACACACACACACACACTTGGGTGGGTCGAAATTAATATAATGAATCATATAGTTTTCAATTTTCCCAAAATATTTTCTGAAGGCCCCACCCCTCCTTTTCCTTCCCGGTTCCCAAAGTCTCATTTGCAATGTCTTCCCATAGAAGACTACCGATCGTCACCCTAATTCATGAACCATCCATCACCAGCAAAGGCCAAACGTGAATGTGTTTTTGTGTGTGTGTGTACTTAGCCCCATTTCTTTGATGACTCGTATCTTTCTTTCTCTGAACCCCAATGCAGCAATGTGGGTGTATCTGTGTGCTTTCATGGCTTACGGTCTGTTTCCTGACACTTTAAGATATTAGTGCTCATGATTTTCCAGTCCCAGGAAAACTTCCTATACCACTATCATTTATTCAACTCAACTAGAACCTTACAGGCCATAAATTTTGGCAGCGCATGTTTATCTTATATTCAAGATTTTATTTATTCATTTATTTATCGTCTTCCTGGGGTTTCTTCATAACAGTATGGTCTTCGGCTATCTGCAGCTAGGTAACAAGATATATAATGGTGCCAACTACTGCCAAGGTATCCATTGGTGAAAGCGAAATATCAACCTTCAAATAACTGTTACTATATACCAAATTCCTCAGTAGCTAGCAAGTAATAGCAATGCAGCAATAAAACTACTAAATCAGCCAAACAAACAAGGGTACTTTACTTTACTGTGACACTGTAAATTATCCATTGTTGCTTAGGGTTTAAATTTTTTTTCAGGCATTATGATTTATTGTTTTCGGTTATCAATATATTAGTGGATTTCGGGATGCCACCGAATACATAAAAATTTATGTCTTATATATACCAACATGCTTATGAAATTTTGGTTGATATAAGGTAGGCCACCTAAAATGTACCAAGTTTTCTACGTTACATTATAGCTACGAGGAATTTTTGTTATTTTCTTAACCAAACAAGGAACCGTGATTTAATCATGAACCCCATAATTTCGCAGTAACTTCTTGTAGGATAGTTTCTACCGTTTTTTTTCCTTATACCTAAAAGAGTGTGTGTGTGTGTGTGAAACAATACGCTGGAAACTTCTTGCTTCAGATGATAGAATCCGGTGCTACTGAAACACAATCTTCTTGATGCATTAATGCTAAATAAGAAGAGACTTGATTTTCGTTTCTTCTTTTGTCTTCTAAAATAATTCCTTCGCATGTTTTCAGCCTTGCACTAGTATAAAACAGCCAGGTTTGAGATTCCATGTTAGTTTATAATAATGCATCATGCATATATGTCCTTCAGCTTCTCATCAGTCATATGCTTTATAAGAGAATCTCTTTATTTTGTGTACTAGTAAATGAATAGGTGTTTGGGAAGACATGACCATGGTACATAAAATGACAGTGGTACTAAACAGATTGTAATTTGAAACCTAAATCAGGTGAACTTGCCTAACCGAAATCATGAAATGATCGACATTTGCAGGAAATAAAATAAAAAATACAACCTCCATTCTCTCTCTCTCTCTCTCTCTCTCTCTCTCATTCTTTCAGAATTTTGTATCTATGATTTCAGTCTGCACACAATCTGTAAGTTACATAATGACTAAAAGGAGAGTTCATTATTTTTATTTCCCCCCTCTGACACATCAGAAAAGATTGACAGGCCATGATGCTCCTCCCCTTTGACCATCCATTAACAAGAAACTCTCCTCACATATCTCCTAGCTGTTATTAATGATTCAGATTGCCTGAAAACCCAACATTTACCATCTTAATTTCTTGATAGTGACAGACATTGCTATCTCCATGATTTCCTATACCGATTCTTTCTTTACAATGTACAACGCTTGTGTCTGTCTCCTCCTCTGGGCGTATGTGTGTATGTGCGTACATGTGTGTATGAGAGAGAGAGAGATTGTCCATAATGCAAGATGTACGATTCCTGAGGAGAGAAAGATGGTAGAGTTGGGGACAGACTCTGAATACGGTGATGTAAGCAAAAGGAAGGTGCTGGGGCTACAGTAGAATGAGCTTTGGATCTTATTGAAGGTGGAGATGCCTCCAATGGACACAATATATTGGCATCTTGTTCTTTTTAGAAAAACCCCTTAAAGAAATATTTAATTAATAATCAATTTACGGAGAAAGGGAAATGAATATAAGTAGATGAAGTTGGTATGGGAGAAAAGAATGGCACAAGAGTCTTGGTCAAGGTACACAGGTGTTGGAAGGATGCCCCATCCCTTTCTTCAATTAAAGGAAGTGGAATCTCTGCCCTCCCATCCTTCCCAATGTCCCATATTTTGATAATATTAAAAAACACAACACTTGATGATCAGATCAGCACAAACAAGAGAAGCAGCGATAAACAATTAATTAATCAAAAGGTGGGATTTCTATAACGTGTCTTTTAGGAGCACATAACCAGACAATAAACCATTGTATCTAGTAATGCATGCACACTTCTAAGCAGGCAAAGAACCTCAAGCTCATTGCACAATTAATTTATACATGTTATACTAGAAAGAACTAGGTAAGGAACAAGAGTTCTGTAATTTGATATTGCTTTTGGAATGTTTGGTGGCATATTTTATCGGATAATTAATAGCATTAGAATGGCTTTATTTGTCTAAAGAAGCAGACACGTAGGGCTTTGTTAGAGAAAGGATATGCCCTAATTGGCTATCTCGTGACGTCTATATATCTATCTAAATTTCAGTGTTTCCTTGAAGTGATGGAACTTCTTATCTCCTTAACTAACTGTTTTGTATCTGCCTTGTGATTTTATGAATATAATAATAGGGTTCCCACATTTCCCAACATTATTGTCGATTTTGTTCTTATTTATCTCCTAATTATATTAATAATTTATATATTTTGGAAAATCTACACCACTCCTTTATACCCAAAAATGAAAGTCTGCCTATACTTTGTGTAGCTCAAGACTGGCTAAGGTTCGAATATTTTATTATGTTTTATTTCATTAGGTCTAGAAGGCTTGGTTTCCCTGAAGAGTTTGAGTTCAATTTGTCTTGTAGACACTTGAATGTGGAAATTAATATATTATCTTAGCTTGTTTCTCATTTGATCGGATTGGCTTTATGAATATATCAATTCTACAATCTTCTGGAACTTACATAAAATTGCTTAACATATATAATATATGAAATGCAATGTCTCACATTCAAAAATGTTAACTTTATCCGCATTGCTTATCTAAACTCAATGTTACATATGTTTGTGTATCTTAAAATATTCAAGGCTCAAAGTCAAATAGTTAAAATGATTTCAAATCATGCAATTGATTATGGGCATAAAAACAAGTCCATATATTCAACCAATATGCCTCCTAGCAAAATAAAACCTTAGTCAGATAAGACATGCAAAATAAAATATATTTATTAGATCAAGATAAAGGACGGTGATATGGAAAAGATATTATATTTTGTCTAAGATATGGCAAAACCATGATTATGAAAATTTCGTCCAAGAAGAAAATTTAAAATACCAATCTTGTGGAATGCGTTAATTATTTTATTAGTATCAGGTCTGCCCTTAGCCAGCGGAACAAATATTCTTTCGCTCGATGATCAATTAGGCCATAAAAGAGAGTTTTCAGTCGACAAATAACTTTTTTCCCCCCCCTTGTGAGATGAAGTCTCGTTATGTGGAAGCAAAATAAAGTTATAAAGGAAGGAGACATGAGATAGAGAGCAAAAAACGAAAGTGTTCAAGAAAGAAAAGAATGTTTACTCCTCGGAGTAGTAATTATATGATGGATTTTTAAAATAGCGAGGAGATAAACAGTATAAAGGAAGAAGAATGACACTGTCAGAGAATTAAACTTTGGCCAAAATAAAGCTTGTGTAATAAAAGTTGTAGAGTATGGATAGATAGATTCTTAATGTATATGGAAGATATAAACCCTTTTATATACATAGTAAACGAAAAAATAATAAATTTTTTTGTCACAAATAAGGGCAAGGACTCTAAAAAATTTCAATAACAAAATCCATTGCAAATTTTTTTGCGACGGATTTTATAATAATAAATTTCGATGACAAATTTGTTTTATTTACTTTTAGTATATACCAACAACTTATTTCAGAGTGATTTTTTTAATACACCTACATAGTATTATTGGATTATATTCAAGTCTAATCCACTACTTAATTCAACTACCATTAGTTATAAGTGATTTTTTTCAATAATTAATCTGATTTTGGTGCATTTAAATTTGATAAATAAGATGTATTATTTATTAGTTAGAAATAGTGTTACCTTGTTAGAATTTATGTATTATACATATATTTCGAGGTTGGTGTGTGTGAACTATATGGGCACCCACTTATTAACAAAATCAAAAGATTTTATCATTATATTTGTCATATTCAGAGCATATTTCCAAAGAAAAAAAGGATTTAAAATATTATATATGAAAAAAAGCCACAAAATACCGGAAGGGCAGAACTTGAAGACATGAAAGAAACAAGTCCTTAAAGCCTTGGATTTCTAGTTATCATACTATCACTTTGAAGAATTCATACTGGCGTTGGGTGGGTGGGGAAAGTTAGAACGCATACTTTTATTTCCCAGTTCTTGCAGCCAACAAATATTGGTGGAAAGCTGTAAATAAACAAAAAGCGGAAAGTCGCTCCATTGTGAAGTATTGAGCTGGATGCCACGACTTTTTATGGCTCACAAAGTGTAGGGTACCTTAGAAAATAAAGTGTTCAGTAATAGACATTATTGATTGTATAACTATAAACTACATCTAATTCATGCGTGTAGAAGCATGTTTTATAATGACATATAGCTAGGTGGATGCATATTTAATACTCTAATTTTAAATGTAAGTGCTAGTAGAGGGATATCCTTTGGTATG